ACTTGTTTTGTGGTCCGGGAAATCAGCTTTGTCACTTTCTCATTGCGTATTGATTTTAAAGACAAAGTCACTGTTTAGACGAAGCCGCTCAGGATGATGAGGATGGCGAAATAGAGGAAACGCAACTTCATTGAAAACAGCAAAGCTCTTTAAAAAAAATGACCCACGGATGATAACAATAAGACAAAAATGGGAAGGCAACTCTCGAAATAATTGCATTCAAATCTCTCAAGAAATGGAAATGCAATTAGGTGCCGCGAACATTTTTTTTTTTTGGGCACGCTAGCAGATAAGGAGACGGATGCTAACGCTTCTTGCGTTGTACAGTCCTGTATTGTCACATCGTGTTGGTTGTGTTGTTTTCCTGGCAGTCCAATAATCATATTGTTTCATTTAGTGAAACAGAAAGACCTTTTAAACATAATTTTCCCACATTAGGCCAAATGTGATTTACTTCCCTCTCTGTGTTATGTCCCGTCCTGCCCGGATGCATCAGTCACAGGCAAGCTGAATCAAATAGCAGACGCAAAACATCTGTCACACGACCGTAAAACGTCTTTCCTGTTGTATAATCACCATAGCGTATAGTAAGAGCAAATGCTGAGATTCCTGCAGGGAGCCGAGAGACATAAAAGTTTTCTCTAAGGCTTCCTAGACAGGCCTTCAGCAGAACCAGCACTCTGTAGCTTAGAGCTTCTCCGTGATTATGCAAAGCGGCTGCTAGCTGCTTTCGTTCAGGGCACCACTGTCAAAGCCCAAAGAGAGAGAGAAAAAAAAAAAAGAAAAAGGCTTTTGGAATGAGACGAAGAGCGGAAACATTTCACTGTCAGAACTGGAAAGTGGCCACATACTGTCAAGTCTTGAAAAAGGATAAATATGAGCATGTGGTCCATTTGCTTTGGGTGATTATATTTGGAAGTGACTGAAATAATATTTAAAAAGAAAAAAGTTGCAAGCATGAAACCCAACAGAGTATTGATTCCTGTTGCGTCTGGTGTAAAAACGTTGCCAAACATAACCACAGCTATCCTAATAACCTGGTAAGCCATTTCTTTGTGGCTTTGTTTGCTTTTTTTCATTTACATTACGGTCTGTGTCTCGGCAGCATATGCGCAAGACTGATGAGGACAAGCAGCGGCCACAGACAGAGCATGAGCGGGCCGAGCAGAAAGAGATCCATCAGTTGCAAAAGGTATGGCAAAAGTACAAATGGAATTACAGATTGATGACACAATTGACTTTCCCTGTGAATACATCTGAATGGTCGACCGTGCGTCTATAAAATGGCGTTGCTTATTGGTCGATGGGTCTTGGTGGTGGTGTCCAGTACATCAAGTGCTCTTCTAGTTGGGAATATGATGTTTGTGCTGAGTCACTGTTGACCCTGGATGAAAAAAATCCAGGCTTGTCTCTTCCTGGGTTGCTAAAAATGTTCTTTTTGTTGTTATATTTACATTCTTTTCAAGCGCTTTTTCCAGCAGCCTACACTCTATTTATTTATTTATTTTTAAGCGGTGTGTTGTCTGATATCTTTCGCGATGTCCTCAATGAACCAAATCCTCCTAGCGATCCTCAATTGTAAAATGAACAGCATTCAGTACTCTCAGCATATCGGTATCTTTTACTCAGCTTTGAAGTATTTACTTTTGCTTATTTGTGCATCATATGCGGATGGACATTTAAAAAAAAAAGCCTCAGGCATACAGTAAATTTAAATACTGTGCGAATAACAGTTTAATTTGGAGCTGTTCGAGCATATTAAAATCATACTTATCATATGTCACAGCCACGATTCAATCAATTGGATCGCCAAATTTGTGAACGGATAACTGAATATGGGGTTCACTGAACGGAGCTGACCATTCCAAAACATGATCCATTTATAACGGTGGGTTCTTCATCTCCAAAAGCCGCATGGAATTAAAAGTTTTGCACTTCAAAACGATCCCAAGCCAAGTGAGGAAAATCATGTCCAAGCAGTTTATTATAGTTTAAAGCCGTTCTACCTCACTTCGACTTAGTGTACTCGCCACTGTGCCGGGGAAACAAATCTGTGACACTTCATTAAAGCAGTACAAGGCCAACTTGCCCCTGTGGTGAGTCTTATGTTGAGTGGACAGTGTTGACAGCATGTCAGGTGTGTGTTGTCTTCTCGGAGTCCACGGATTGTGATTATTGTGTCACGTGTCAGTGTGTGTGCTCTTCTTCCAGGCCCGGCTTCAAGCTGACCGTGACCATGAGCAAGCCATACAACTGTTAGAGGTACAGTAACACACAAATAAAAGTGTAATCTTGCAAATTTTGCCGGAGCTAAATCCGCTAGTTTAATGCTAACATGCAATGCAAAAGACCATAGACAGGCAAACACATAGCACCGGTGTTGCAGTGTCATCATCCTTGAAGCAATGGATATTTCGACATTGATGATGCAGCAACACATGACAAGATAACGACACTCACATGTCATACTCATTGCATATCCTCTGCAAATACACAAATACTGCATCTTACTGAGCATTTGTGAATGTCTTATGTCTGTTTATCCGTATATCTGGATCATACTACAATTGGCGCATGCTAGAAGCTAATCTCTTTAGAAGACTCAATTGTGTGCAAACTCATGCCCACTGCGTGCCTAAGTGCTTAATCTTGCCCTTCCGTGCCCTCCTCTCATCCTTTGTCAAAGGTCCACATTTGTGACCTGGGGCAGACATGCGGTTCACAGAGTGAACACTTCCATCAGTTGTCCAAAGATCTGCTGAATTTCCGTTTACAATCCCATTCTGTGGAGATCCTCCTGAGTAAAGCCACCTCCGAATCCTCCAATTTCCTCTCAGAGGAGGAGCAGCTCCCAAAAGTCGCTGTCGGATTTGAAACCCAGACAGAGGCAGGTAGGTCCCATCTCGGATTAATCTCAGTTAAAGAAATGAAAAGGGAAACGATTCAGTATACCAAGGCTGTGAAAATGTTTCATCCAAAGGCTGCATACAGATACAACAAGGGCTACTTTGACATGCTACACCTTTCATTTATTTACAGGATAAATCCAGGATGTCATTTAAGTCAAGCTAAGATCGACAATGATATACTGTATTGTTTTTATATAAAGTGAGTCAAAAAAAGTTCCAGGACTATTGTCACAAAAGGCACGTTTCAAATCCAAACGTCAAGTTTCCCCCATAGCCCATCACAGCCATCTTGATGTTGTCTATGAAAAATCACAACGGGCCAGGACTACTGGCACCGGTTGTAGTAGTATGCTCATCCCATTTTTTATACTCTGACTAAATCACTTACAGTAGTTGTGAAACTCTTCATTTGTGTCTGCATGACTATTTTACACCGCCCACTGATGGTCAAGTCACGCAAACCAGAGGGAGCCACAATGAATGAATTGTTTATTATGTTGAATGCTGTTCTAAAGTACACTGTTGTAGACTGCAGGGCATCGCACCAGTTTGGAAAAGCTACTAAAATACGGACAACGGGCTGCAAATAGCACCGCTGTGGTTATACACTTAAGTAGCGTTTGTGCAAATTTGTCATATTAGTCACGCTTTGACCACAAAAGTGATACAGTGCTGTCTACCAGCTCCGATTTCCTCCAGCCATTCATCTGTCTGCAATCTTACACTGCAATTTGTGTTCCCTGCATTTTTCATGAGCTTAGCCCCATAGACATTGATGGTATTTAAGGACAAATGTGCCGCATACTCTCATTGATGAGACCAAACTAGCCTCGGCCGTGGAAGGTGTTTGCCTGCTCACTCACTTTAACAGGAGATCAATAGGCACGCGCAATGAGATGAAAATGGCTTGCAGGAGAATTGACAGTTGCTCTTTAATTGTGATGGAAATCAATTTCTCCCAGGCGATGAGAGAGCGCCAAACGCACCGCCACTGATCTCCCAGTTCTTACAGTGCCCACAGCGGACTGGACACAGGGAAAGGCCAGATTGGCCGTCCGTCAAATCAGGCACCGTGAAAACGGAACTCGCCAGCTGCGCTCGGCGGCTGACACCATCAGCGGTGAGTTTTCAAACTTTGGGATCAAGTTTTGTTACGCGCTAGTGGTGTGTCAAGGAAGCAGACTTCAGCTCTTTTCTATGTCGGGAAGTTACCGATGACTTTCTTTTTGCGTTTGTTGTCAAGCTACAGATGGAGGATGAACCAAGCCCATCACCCAGGTCCAAGCCCCGCTACACAGGCCAGGTCCGCCTTTGCACTGCCCGATACAGGTGAGGATCCTCAGTTTCTTCATTTGTTTGTTTGGACTCCTTTTAAGATGCAATTTCTTCTGTTAGTTACAATCCCTACGATGGACCAAACGAACATCCCGAAGCAGAGCTCCCACTTGTGGCTGGGAAGTATTTGTATGTATACGGCAACATGGATGATGACGGATTCTATGAAGGTGAGATGGAAAAGTGTTCAAAGTGTTGAGCAAAATGCAAAGTAAAGATCATAATAAAAACATACCGCTGATGATCTGAAATCTTTGTGTGTGATAAATATGCAAGGAATACATCAATCAGGAAGGGGGCAAATACTATTTCACAGCACTGTACATTTGTCAAACATGCCATAATCTTTTTGACATCCTGTAATTGAATGATTTCTTCTGATATCTGGACTAAAAAAACAAAATGGTGACGTGTGTTTGTTATGATCTTTAACTTGTGGGAGAATATGTGTGCACTTGTGCCTGAGGACTTTACTGTCTTTACAAATGACTGGAGAGATTTGCGATCAAATCTCCAAAGCATTATGACGGCCTTTCAATCAGACCCAATGTTAATTCCCAATCGCGAGCAAGCCTTCGGGGCTAGCGCAGGATGCTGCAGACGCCGTTGCGCTCAGCTGCTCTGACTAATTAAAGCTGCAAGGGAGCGTGGGGGGAGTGGGGTGAGATTGCACGGCGGCGTGGAGGAGGCGTTGTGTGTTTACCATCAAGCAGAGAGACTCGGGCAGCGGACCAAGCTGTTGTCAAGATGGGACCTTGGTCCCTTTTAGCTTGATGACTAATCCTTCTGGGCTCACCTTAATCATCAGCACCCTCGCACGCGCATGCTTATGCGCATGCGCACATACAAGTGAAGGTCCATTCCAGTGTGTATTGGAGATGTACACATCAACCAAAGTATCAGCACACCACGCTATTACACCTATAGGAAGTACAATCAAAGACAATATGGAGTTTCCCTCCTTTACCCCTCTGACTGAGTCCCTGTCCATAGTCAGCGAGAAGGTCCCAAGGGTGGTGTGCAAAGCCTCAGGCAAATATAAGGTCACTTGTTGCAAACACTGACTACCTACCGACAAACACTTGGGTGCGCATAGTGTACATATGCAGTTTTAATATGAAAGAAAAAAAATGGGGTTTGCCTCGCTAGCTTAGGCTATTCTTTCCGGAGTCTGAGTTGAAAGTCGTCTCTAAACGGGAAGATGTGATGCCAAAACCGTATGATTAGCATTCAGTCGATTTCTGAGTCGTAAACTTGACTTATCAACTAGTCGACTAATCAGTTCTACCCTTAATTCAACTTGTTTCTTGATCACAGGTGAGCTGCTGGATGGCCAGCGAGGACTTGTCCCATCAAACTTTGTAGAGTTTGTCCAGGACAAGGAGAAGCTGTCCATTCAAGCTGGAGAAGGAGAAGATCTTGGCCCGGTTGATCATACGCCTCTAGCCTTGATGCCCCTGGATGGAGGTGCTGGCCAGGATTGTCTCCTCGGCTCAGCGAAAGCCTTGGTACCCTGTAGCAACGGCACCGTGGGACCCCTGGACACTGGGGACCTGGCTGAAGACGTTGTGCCTTATCCCCGAAAGATCACGCTGATCAAGCAGCTGGCGCGGAGCGTCATCGTAGCTTGGGAGCCTCCGGTTGTGCCTTTGGGCTGGGGGAACATCTCTGGCTACAACGTGTTGGCGGACGGCGAGCTACGAGCCAGCATACAATTTGGCGGACGTACCAAATGCTTGCTGGAGAAACTGGACCTGGACGGATGCATTCACCGTGTGTCGGTACAGAGCGTCACCGACAGGGGATTGTCGGACGAGCTGCGCTGCACTCTTTTAGTGGGAGCCAATGTGGTGGTGGCACCTTGCGGCCTCCGGGTGGATGACATCCAGCGGGACACAGCCGAGCTCTCCTGGTTGCCAAGTAACAGCAACTACGGTCACACCGTCTTCTTGGACGGAGTAGAGCACACAGCGCTAAAGCCGGGGAGGTATAGACTCCGCTTCTTCAACCTAAAGCCGCTGACGGTGTACAAAGTGACAGTGGCGGCACAGCCTCACCAGGTGCCATGGCAACTGCCTCTGGAGCAGAGGGAGAGAAAGGAAGCGGGAGTGGAATTCTGCACTCAGGCTGCAGGTAAGCACTACATCATGGAGACAGTATCAATAATGTATGCATAGCTTCATCGTCCCCCAATAGATTTTGTCAATATTCCTTCTGAGGAAAAGATGGATCCTGTTGGTCGATGTGAATGCACAATAACATATGTGTGTGTGTGTGTGTGTGCGTGTGTGTATTCTATCCAGTCACAACATTAGGTAAACCCATTCCGACCGAGTAAGATTAAATACAAGTACCATATTAGCCCGAATATAAGACTGTGTTTTTTGCATTGAAATAAGACTGAAAAAGTGGGGGTCGTCTTATATTCGGGGTCTAGACATTATACCCATTCACGACGCTAGATGGCGCCACATATCATTGAAGCGAATGCTGAACTTGACTCCTCAGGCCAAAGTGAAACTCTGTCACGAAGAATAAAAATAAAAATAGCGGTAGCACGAAGAAGAAAAATAAAAAAAAAAATAGCGGTAAGTAAGAAAAAAGAAGAAAATAATAGAAGAGATAACAGAAAATGGAGAAACGTAGCGACAATCTGGAGAAAAGTGGGTCGAAGATCGGCCAGGTTAACCGGCAGCTGAGGAGAAGTTCTGATGTAAGTAATTTACATTTTAAAAACCAGAAGCCATTCATTTACGAATGTGATTGCACTTTAGTTTACATATTAAGATTTGAATGAGGCAAAATAACATGCTTTTTCTCTCAAATATATTGTTATAATCATTTGTTTCAGATGTACTGGAATTATTTTCTGCATGAAAATTAATTTGGTGTTCACAAAGTCTTTTTTCAAACTTGAGTCTTGAAAAAGAGGGGGTCGTCTTATAATCAGGGCCGTCTTATATTCGGGCCAATACGGTACGTAGCTATTTCTTCTCTCTCTGGCTCACCATCTAACACTCTGAAAACGCTCTGACTCATCAAGACGGGGGATACAGGTGTTTGGCCTTGTTGGATGCCTGCACTTGAATGAGTGCGCCGTCTCGTAATATGTAAAAAGAAGATTTTTAAAAGGCAGCGTGCATTAGAGCTCATAATAGTAAGCATGTGTGCATGATGTTGTGACTGGTGAACGGGCTGTACTATATCGCGGGTGAGTACAGGTCCCACATTTCCTTACTGTGCCATTGTTGTGTATTGTATCTTGTCTAGGTCCAACACCCTATTGCAGAACAGGTCAGAATCAAATATCAATCCCGAGCTTCATTTCACATACGTCTCACTCCTGAATGACCCTAAGGCATTTGTATTCACTGAATAAATCCCGATTTTATTTCGAAAACCAAATCAAATGGGTTTTGCTCAGATTTCCTCGGGGGCACATGACTAATTAGCACAATACCGAGCACTACAAGATATGATCACTTATTATCCCGATGAGTCATTTTCCTCGCCTATGGCGTAGCCCGGCTTAGCCGTTATGCCATTTACAGTGGCACTTTACGACTCACTGGAACGGCCGTGTTGTATTGTATTGAGTACGCGTTTGTTTCTGCATAAATGCAGTTGTGCACGTGCCTTATTTTGACAGATTGCACATGAAGTATCACACACTGGCGTTTTGATGTGAATTTATCCCACTAAGCGGTGTCACCTAATCACAACATTGCACATTATGCAGCATGCACTCATAAATGAGCCCATGTAGTTCTTTTGAGATGTTCCGCAACCACATCACAACCCTTCCTATTCCATGTTGGTGCATTTTTGTGGAATGCCTTTCTTGTTTGTATGTCACCTATTGGATATTGAAGATGAAAGAATTTCACATTCTCTTTCTTATACTTCTCAGGTCCTCCCCTGCCTCCGCAAGATGTACAGGTGCTCTGTGGGCAGGCACCCGGGGTCCTTCAGGTCCGCTGGAAGCCTCCCCTATTGTCTCCCACAGGCACATCCAATGGTGCCAACGTCCTTGGCTACGCTGTCTGCACTAAAGGACAGAAGGTCAGGTGGATGTTTTGTTACCCGTACTCCAGTCATGTATGGTCAACTCTGATAAAGCATTTTTATTATAGTGAGGGGTGGATTTGGGTTTACAGAGAATCTCAGGGGTTCAGTGGATCAGAAACGGGTCACTTGTGGAGACAATACCAACAATTCAAACAGTGTAGGGTTTATGATTCAGGATTAAGATCTTCGAAAAACCTTTTTCGACCCTCTGGTGACAAGAAGACTGACTCAACCTTTTATTTGCAAAGATGGTTTTATTTATTGAGTTTGTTGCTCGGTTGGAAGTCTGTCTTCTCTCATCTTCCAGATCGCTTCAGTTAACTTAATAGAAAAGGAGGCGAAAAAAAAAAAATCCCATTATTGTCAGAAAGTTACCGTTCCTCCATTTGACCTGGAGGTCAAACGTTTCACTTAGATTGAATGTATCTTAAAAAGTTTAAATACACATTTTCAGATATTTTCTGACAACATCAATAGACACAAGAGGATGTGTGGCAGAGTTATAAGTTATTATTAGTTTTTTTTGGGTGGCGGGGGTTCTTGTCTGTGTGTGACACGAACATGTGTGTGACATGAAGAGAGGAAATGTGAAGTATAAATGACTTTCTTTGCCCTTGCCGATCGCTTGTGTCTGTCTTGGAACCAGATAGCAGAGGTGATGTTCCCAATGGCAGACTATGTGACCGTGGAACTGACCAGGATACAGTGCCTGGAGGCAAGGGAGGTCATCGTCAGGACGCTGTCCGCACAGGGAGAGTCCCAGGACTCCCACGTCGCCCTCATTCCAAACAACCTGCTCGTGCCTCTACCTCCGCTTCCTCTGCCAGCGCCGATGCACCCCCATCCCCACGGCCAGCCTCACCTTACGTCGCCTCACCACCCTCATGTCATCCCGCAGCTTCCTGCCCCGCCCCAAGCCCACGGACAACCACTCCCACAGCAGCCCCATCCTCCACACCCTCAACCCCTCCCGGGACTCCCTCACCCAGGCGGGCCCCACCCGAACCAGAGTCGAACGCCGCATCCTCATCCTCATCCGCAGCCCCTGCACCTCCATCAAGGTCCCAGGCCCCAGCACCGACTGCCTCTGCAGCCCCACGCTCATCCCCACCCCGTACCTCAGAGACCAGTAAGTGCCAGAGACCTGGATGCCAAAGAGCAAGCCGGCCACCACACGGCCGCCGCCCCGCCCGGTTGGGACCTTACACGCTCCCCTTCGTCCCAGGCGCCTGTGCCCATGCAGGGCCACACCCTTGAGCCCCCTCCACCTGGCAATCCACGTTCCCCCTCCCCCCAGAGGATCCTACCACAGCCGAGAGGCAATCTCATCCCAGACAATGTGGCCAAAGCCATCGCCCGGGAAGCGGCGCAGAGGGTGGCGGCCGAGAGCGGCAAGGTCTGACAATACCGCGTCAAGACGCTCTCGTGGCTGTCACGGCAACATGTCAACATTACCCTTTGGGTCTGACATTTCAGGGGGACCGGAGACCTGTTAGCTACGGCGAACAGGGTCAGTCCTTCCACCAGCGTCACTCCGATGAGGAAGAGGAAGACGAGGAGGCGTTGGCACATCGCCGACGAAGAGGACCTTCGGTCGATGAGTTCCTCCGAGGCTCCGAACTAGGAAGGCCGGTATGTGAAATGCGGCAAGCCTTCTCACGGCATCGCTTTGAATAGACTGACCTTAGAAGAAAAGTCTATTTACAAGAGCGTGAGTGCTGCACAACAACACGACCGTGCCGGCGTCACTGTGTGTGTGTTCATTCGTCATGCGTGTTTGGCGTGTGCACGTCTGTATGTATGTGCACTTAAACAAGTGGGTCTGTGTGTTTGTGTGTGACTGTCAAAAGCCTCACTATAGTCACAATGAAGATTATCACAGCGAGAGCAGCCGCGGCTCTGACCTGTCTGACATCATGGAAGAGGATGAGGAGGAACTGTATTCAGAGATGCAGCTGGACGAGGGACGCCGACGCAACTCGCACAACACACCCAAGGTGCAGTTCTTTGCACTTACTGTACTTCAAGCAGAAAGACTCACTCATGACCATCCAAATTTACTGTTGGTTTTAGTGAACTGCACAGGCACAGATACTTCACTGCTGCCTTTTCTTGCATTTGATATGTGTTGTTAGCGTGTTTGCCGAGTTCAGTACAGTGGAACCTCCAAAGTCGAATACAAATTGTTCTGTGACGCCAGTCACAAGAAGTGAATTCATTAATTTTAGTCTTAATTTACTCAATTTTATTTCATTTAGTGGTTGCATGAAGTAAAATCATCTGCATCCAGGTACCTTTTTTTAAGTAGGCTATGCATCTACTTAAAAAAAGTATCTGGATCCAGATGATTTTATTTTGTCCAGCCACTTGATGAAATAAAAACCATCTTTTAAGCAGTTTGATTATATTAGGTTAAAGTAAAATTAGTGACAGACAAAGGCTGTGGTGCCTTCAGAAGGCAAATTTGTTATCATGATCACTCTCGTATTGCAAATCATTTTTCAGCATTGAAATGAGTAGAGATGCAAATAATCCGTTCCAGTCCCCCTAAAAACACCAAAATTATTTGTTTTAATTTTTAAAAAGTGCCCTCAACAGTTTTGTGTCGTATAAAAAAAACAACGTAACAACATTTGTTCTCCAAATAACCTGCAAATACACAAAATGTGAGCACAAACCACGACTTTATCTAATGGGTTGCCCTTCCTTGTTGTTCTTTGTCATCTGTGTGGTTTATTGGCGGTAGGCAAACCAATTTACTGATGATGCATTTGCGCCACAGACTGATCTTATCCTTCCCCTGCAGGGAAACCAATGTGAATTGATTTTGGCTGGAAGTTGTAAATGTTGCATTTAGTGGTTGAGTGGTCTGAAGATTTGATAGTTGGGATGACTGAGGTATTTATTTTTATTTATTTTTTAAACCGATTCTCCATTATTGGCTAAAAGTCACCTTGTTTTTCTGCTCGAGTCAAATCCCCGTCTAATGTAGAATTATATGTTTTGGTTCCATCTTGACGCCAAGGAAGGAATTATTTTGAAGACAGTGAGTTAGGAAGCTTCTGCTTTGCCGTCATCTTATTGCATCTATCGGCAATTCTTTTTTAGAGTGCTATCAATTACTCTGGATTTCTAGATTCTTGCTATTCATGTGAGGTGTCCAGAAGGATTCTGAATAGAACAAGTGTATTTATTGATTAAAAACACAATGCCAACAAAGTACAACGAAGGACGCTGGTAACAAAGAACCAGGAAAAGACGAGAACAAACCAAAAGTCCTTGCAAAAGGCAAGGAGCAAGAAAAAACATAATTGTCAACTCAAAGGACAATCCAATCCAATACACAAAGAAATAAATCGAGAATAATAACAACAATGCTACAAAAATACAGAGAATGTCAAGAGAATAAAAGCATTTGGGGACAGAGTCATGAGCAAGGCTTAATAAGCCGACAGGCAGTTGTCGCCGTGGCATGGCTTTTAAAGGAGAGAAGTAACGAGGCCAGATTCGGGACAGGTGTGACTCATGAGGGAACGCCCATTCTCCAGCTGGTGACTGAAAAAACTAATCAAAAAAAGAACGGATCATGACAGCTTGGTCCTTATCCCCAAATAACAGGAACAGGAACATTATCCTGAACATTCGCATCTACTTGCTAGAATGAACTTGGGTGTTGATTGGGTATTGCTCTTAATGTACCGCGCAGCCCATGTTGCCGTTCGTTACTTTTCTGGTTTTATTTGACTTTTGAATCTCCAAGAGAGTTTTAGTTCGGGTCTAACTTTCACTTGCGTGCATTTCGACTTTGGATGTTCTATTGTACCGGGGGCATCAATGGGTGGGTGGATTAAAAATTAGGGGCTAACATGACAGGAGGCGCTTCACAAATCCTTGGTTTATTTCCCCGACTCTTACTTTGTACTTAATAATTAGAATTGTCATTTTTGGAACAATAAAACTTCTCGTGGGCTTATGTGTGTGTGTGTGTGTGTGTGTCAGCGTGTCTGTGTTTCAGTGTACCTGTCTGCGAGTGTTGCATGAGTTTGTTTACATCCAATTTTGTCAAGAGTATGTCACCGCACATGACTGTATATTTGGTTACAAACACAACGGTGGGGAAAGTGAGCTCGCTTGTCTGCGGACGGCATGTGAATAGTTCCTCGTCTTTTGCGTTGTAGTTAAACACACCCTCGAGAGGCCGTCATGACCGGGAGAGTGGGCAAAGGATTCGTCACGGAGGCTCGCAGCCTCAGAGACGACCTCTGATGGTCCCTGCCATCGGTCAGTATCACCTGGTTCCATTTATGTTAAGTTCCATACGTGACATCATTGTTAATTTTTTGGGGATGTTTCATGCCGTGTTTTGCGGTAACAATCAAAACTTTTTTTTTTTTTTTTTGCCTTAGAAAGTCAAATTCTACAGTCTTTTAATTCAAATAAAAATACGTGGAATGACACCATGCAATCTTTATACTGTACATTAGATCATCTCCTTTTTTTGCATCACAAATAGACATGGCTTCAAATTTTTTGCATCAACACACCCAAAATCTCCCAAATGTGGGAACATGTGTTATGGTCTGCTGAAATCAACTGCGATTTTTATTTTATTTTTTTATTTTTTTGACAATGATTACAAAAGGCATCTTCTCATAACCTTGACCGGCCGCCTGAACTTTCTAAATGTCTTTCTATTTTCCAACATTATTCTGTCTTCTTACATTCATGTCCAGTTTACCTTTTGGATGGAATTATGTTGGCCTTGTAACCTCGGCCCCTTCTGATTGGTGTTTTCTGTAGAAGTAACCTCTGAGAATAACAGTGAGGGAAACATGCCCCCCAACACCGAGAAGAATAACTATGGCAGAGTAGCTCGGTTCAGGACCAGTACTTCCCGCAGGCACGGGGGCGGCACCAGGTCTCCCCATGGTACGTGCTGCAAACTGCGGTCCTGTCTGATGCCGCCACAGCACGCCGGCCACGACGCCACCAGGCAGTTGGCATGTTACAATGGTTTGATCGATATTAATTCACACACTTTGCAAAGTCAGATTCAAATACTATATTAAGTGGACGTTTTTTTCCATATCTTGTCAGAGCAGGATACTTCCATGTGGCCTCGCAAATCAACGATGCTGGATGACAAGTTTAGGGGAATTGTTTCTTTAATAAGAATGATGGCTGTGAGGTCGTTTTACTTTTTGTTACAATGGTTTGATCGATATTAATTCGCGCACTTTGCAAAGTCAGATTCAAATACTATAATAAGTGGACGTTTTTTGGCATATCTTGTCAGAGCAGGATACTTCCATGTGGCCTCGCAAATCAACGATGCTGGACGACAAGTTTAGGGGAATTGTTTCTTTAATAAGAATGATGGCTGCAAACCGGGGCGTGCTGGAGCTTATCCCAGCCGTCTTCGGGCAGTAGGCGGGGCACACCCTGAACCGGTTGCCAGCCAATCACACAGAGACGAACAACCATCCGCGCACACACTCACACCTAGGGACAATGTGGAGTGTTCAATCAGCCTGCCTTGCATGTTTTTGGAATGTGGGAGGAAACCGGAGTACCCGGAGAAAACCCACACAGGCCCGGGGAGACCTCTATGAAATCTATGAATCGAAATATACTTTGATGGTTTGGCCTTAATTCCAAGATTTTACTCAATTATACGTTCCAAGCTTCATCGAAAACAGTCGAGGTAGGAAAATGCGATGATCAACCCTTTGAGGGACAGCGCGAATCAGTTTTGATCGTTTTGTACATCAGTAGTATTTTACGGGCGAAGAACTGTATCCGATTATCAAAGAAATCTATCCATCCATCCATTTTTTTCCGATCCGCTTTATCCTCACAAGGGTCGCGGGGCGTTCTGGAGCTTATCCCAGCCGTCTTCGGGCAGTAGGCGGGGCACACCCTGAACCGGTTGCCAGCCAATCACACAGAGACGAACAACCATCCGCGCACACACTCACACCTAGGGACAATGTGGAGTGTTCAATCAGCCTGCCATGCATGTTTTTGGAATGTGGGAGGAAACCGGAGTACCCGGAGAAAACCCACACAGGCCCGGGGAGAACTCAAAGAAATCTATGAATCGAAATATACTTTGTTGGTTTGGCCTTAATTCCAAGATTTTACTCAATTATACGTTCCAAGCTTCATCGAAAACAGTCGAGGTAGGAAAATGCGATGATCAACCCTTTGAGGGACAGCGGTTACTAAAGTGGACATCTTATCATGTTATCTGGTTACAGGGTGCATGAAAGGGTGAAAGAAAAAAAAAATTAAAATCTGTACTCACTTGACGACACTAACGTATATAGACATCATGTGTTTTTGTAATTATCATTAGAGTCAATATCACCTTTCAATCTCGCCCATTTGAGTCAATAAATACCCGCTCATACCAAATTGTATGTTCATTCCTCTCCAAGTAAGTTTCCAACTTTGAAAATTCCCGAATTTGGCAACCCTCCCTGCAAGTTGCCTGTTTCTCTTTGATTCTTACTCACACCGCTGAATGGCATGATCGCACTGCACAGATACGGCGGACCCACCACTCAAGTGATCCGGCTTGTCCACGGTTGGCGACCGAGACTGCTCCCTTCGCTTCACTGAGCCTGCTGAGATCCCTCCCTCTTTGCGCTATGAGCCGCACTTTTATGGAAGCATTTTCAGCATGAACTTTTGAGTTTGGTTGGACATTTGGGGTCAATGCATCATCTGATGACAGGATCAAAAAAAATAAAGAGAATATTTTTTTTGTGGCATATCAGGGAATGATCGTGCTTGAGTTTTTAGGGTGTTAAACGTGATGCTAAGAGATTCACTCTGCAGTGTCCACGGCCAAGAAATGACTTTATAAAGTCTGCGTGGACTATCCTTCTGAAGTTGTACATATTATAATATTGTGGTGATATTGCGATGTACTGTAAGGTTAGATTAGTTCAAGATGTCGTATGTTGTGTGCATGGCAAAGCACTGGGTGTTCCTCATATTGTCTCTTGTCTGTGTGTCATTTCCTGCGTGTTGCACCGCGGTCTGTCTTGCTCCTTCTTTTGTCTTTCTACACTCCCCAAAAATACGATCAATGTGTATTTTAATCTGTTCGTGTCCGTATACTTTTGGTAAGGGCAATTTTAGCACACTGCCACATGTTTTAGCCCCAAATGATTTCCATCCTTTTTGCCAATTTGCTCCGTGTCCCCGAGCAAATCACTTGATTGTCAGTAAGCTCGCACTTTTATTTTTTTCAGAAATGCAAATGCAAATGCTGTCAACTTTACTCCATCTGTGTCTCGAGCCACCGTTTCATTTTTTTATTTCTGTGTTCAAGATGGCTACCGAGATCATCATTCTCCCACCTACTTTGATGAGTCAGAGACAGAGGAGACCTTCCGGGTATTTGTGGCGCTCTTTGACTACGACCCCCTGTCCATGTCCCCGAACCCAGACGCTGCCGACGAGGAGTTGCCCTTCAAAGAGGGTCAAATCATCAGGGTGGGAGTTGAAAGAAAACAAAAAAAACAAACAAAAAAAAAAACATTTTGACCTGGCTCTGCATGTTGTTGTTCTTGTAAAATTGCATTTTTTTTTCCTTTCAAAATTAAAATGTAATTCATAAAATTACATCCTTTTTCTTGTATTTACGTCTTTATTTTGGGAATATTTTTTTCTTGATTCTCCTAATTCTACGACTTTTTTTCTAGTATTTTTTGTGGACCTCATATTGAGTAGGAATATTTATCTTCACACCTGGACCGTATTGCTGCCTCTTTTTCACCAGATATATGGGGATAAAGACACCGACGGGTTCTACAGAGGAGAAGTGAGGGGAAGGATGGGGCTGATCCCATGTAACATGGTTTCCGAGATACGAGCCGAGGATGATGAAACCATGGATCAGCTCATCAAACAAGGCTTCCTGCCTCTCAGCACCCCGGTGGACAGATTAGGTACTAAACGTCAGATGAATGTAAGTCCACCGATGACTAAATGTTGGATGACATAAAGTCAATGATCGTGGCTTTTCAGAGCAGAACAGGAGAGGCGTCCGCCGAGGTGAAGCCTCCAGGAGGATGGTGGCTCTGTATGACTACGACCCCCGAGAGAGCTCACCTAATGTTGACGTTGAGGTATCACGAACAACACAGTATGTCATTCCAGAACCGGAGGACAAATTCGGCACCAAAAAAAAAAAACGGACCTTTTTGATTTGAGAGTTTTCCGCGAAATCAATCACCATTTAGCTCATCTATCAGCGTTACATATTTTGAGCTATTTTGCTTTTTGGTGCAACCCTGCTGCAGATACTCAGGCAACTGAAAACATCTATTTAAACCTATCAGGGACAGTGGTTACTACAGTGGACAGATTTTCATGTTGTCAGGTTACAGGATGCATGAAAGGGTTTAACAATATTGCCAAATCAATGCTTAGCAATGAAATGAAGTATTTGAATACAAATGTAATTTTAGTGTCACGGTACTCTAATTATAGGGTTGCAAATGAAAATAGTTGAACAGCTGATTATAGGATGTACCCTTGGTCTGCTTATGTTTGAAGCAATTAGCTTAGTGATGTCGCGTTTAGTATAATAATTCCAAAGCAATGAAATGTCTGAAAAGGTCCTCCAATTCGGGAATGAAACTTCATGCGCGTTACCGTCTTAAAAACAAAACAAATTAAAAAAAAACGTTTTGCTCATCTGCATATCGAGTATCTTTTTCCTTCCTCTGATAGGCTGAGCTGACCTTTTGCACCGGCGACATCATCGCAGTCTTTGGTGATATTGATGAAGACGGTTTCTATTATGTGAGTGTCTTCATTAATCTTATTGAATGTTGCTATCCGTATTCTACATCTTAACATTACCAATGTCACACATTTCCATATATTTTTCAAGGCTTGACGGTCCCATGCAATATTTTGTATTTTGATGCGTATGTGACTTTAAACACAAATCAGTATTAGGACTGAGGAAATGCAGTGCAAAGAATGCTTCCATTTCAAGAGCTGAAGTGATTTAAAAAATATATATGGTGAAACATCACAAATGAATGCTGTACTTTTAACTTTGCGAAACACCTTGAGTTACCTTCTGTACGCTGTGTACATGTACAGTATGTGGGGAGGCCAAAAACTCAAACTTGTAATTTGTTTATGTATTTATTTCTTTCTTTTTGACGGGTTGGCAAAAAAATTTATGATACAAATCACGGCATTCGCTTTACCGATGAGCAAAAGCTAGCGAGCATAGCACTACCTCAACTAGCACTGATGTTAGCAAGCTAGCTCGCCATGATATTTTTCTAAATTACTCAGAAATAGACAACCCAACTTTATATTTGAGAAAATACTTTCATACAAACTTGATGATGGGGCATTCAGAATCCCAATCTGGGCACTGAAGCGTTCGCTTCCCTCCTTTCCACAGGGTGAGATCAACGGTCACCGTGGTCTGGTTCCCTCCAACTTCCTGGAAGAAGTGCCTGACGACGTGGAGGTGTATCTGACCGATACGCCCTCCCACTTCCACTCCGAGGAGCCTGCCAACCGGCTCTCTGCCAACTCTGCCGCCAGCGTCCCGGAGGGCAAACGGGTACATCATCACCATCGCCGCTCTCAGCGCTAAGGCCCCTGTGTTCATGCATTCCTTCCGTCTCCTCTCTTTCTCTTGATTTCCGTCTCTCGCTTTGCTCCACGTTGCCATGCGCGTGCTCTCCATCGTGTGTGTTTATTGTCCGTGTGGTGGCTGTGGTGACCAACTAACAACTCCCCCACCCTCTGCTCCGTCACCGTCAGGAAAAAAAAAGGGGGGGGGCGGCGACCAAAAAAATGAAAAGCAATCGAGTGTAATACCTTTCTGAGTCTCAGAGAAAGTCAGAAGCAAAGCCTGACATGGACAGAGAGAGGATAGGCTCTGCGGGGAAAAGGGGGTTGCGGGTTCTTGCATGCTTGAGGAGGCTCAACTCATTTCCTTCCATTTGTACCTCTTTGCACTGAAACACGCAAATCTCATTGTGGTTATTGTGTACGGCAACAAGAATGACAAGTGCTTTAAGAACACCTAACTGCAACACTGGAAACAAAAACTCATTTGAGGAAAAACACACACACACACACGCACACACACACACACACACACACACACACACACAAAAGCATGTCTTTTTCGTAACGGTTCCATTTTGTAATGACTCTTGACTGTTGTGTTTCCCGAAAAGAGGCTTTGTTTCTTGATGTATGTTGCACACACATCAATCTATTTTTCAGCTCTGTTTGAGGCCAAAAATTTACCGGCAGCACTGAGACATTCGAACTGTATCGTTACAAAGGAAACAATAAAAGACAACCAAAATTGGATATTAAAAACCTTCTTTTGGCGCTCTCTCTCTCTCTGTTGTTGTGTGTGTCAATGTTTTCATTGTGGTGCATTGTGGTCTGTGGGTTCTTTCTGATGGTGACTTACGCTGCTACATTTTCTGCCTTTTTGTTTCATTCCCCCCCCGCGCCTCTCACCCCGCTTGTCCAACAATAAGAAAAAAAAAAAAAACGGAGGACAATTATTCATTTCACACCATTTGCCCCCCCTGCCCCGTACAGTAAGTCAGCAACTTGAGATACCAAACTAGCGGCTCTAATGCGCTCCAGCTTGAAGTCCCAAAGGCTTTTTAAAATAACAGCGACGTACTATCTCACTTAAAAATAGAGCAAACAAAAGAGTGCGTCAAGGTAACGCATTAGAAGACAAGCCTGGTATCTCCAGTTGTGTTCCTGGGTGTTGCTAAGACTCTACTCTTACTATGTGTTCCCCCATGGCGGACTGGTGGTTGGATTCCTCTGGCTCTGTCAAACTCAACTGCCTCCTCAGTGTTTCTACCGCATTTGTACATTGTCCTTTTGTTCAAACATGCAGGTGCGTCCCGAATCACAGTAATGTAGGAATTATCACATTAAAATGTGAAACCTTAAAATAACTAGGTCACGGGTGTCAAAATCATGGGCTTGGGCCATATTTGGACCATTACATCATTTTATGTGGCCCGGGAAAGCAGATTATGTTGACTTCATGTTTCTGGTGAGAATTCCCAAATTCCAATTTAAAAGGCCGTGTGATGCTATTTGAAGCTTTTTGCTGTTAACTTGCAGCATATATATGATTTTATATTATCTTTGGCATCATGGAGGTTGACTTCATGTTTCTGGCGAGAATTCCCAAATTCCAATTTAAAGGGCCGTGTGATGCTATTTGAAGCTTTTTGCCGTTAACTTGCGGCATACTGTATATATGATTTTATATTATCTTTGGCATCATGGAGAACTCATTTCTTATGAAACATAGTCCCAAAAGGCCCCATAGCACACATCACTCCGAACTCGCTGTCATTAATTTGACCCCCCCTTCGAGTCAAGTCATTGTCCGCAGCCGGTCAGCGGTTGCCCAGAGCCCCCATCCCCACAAACGTCAGGCCGGGCAAGCGGCGACACTCCGCGGGAGGCTTCTCATTCAAGTGAATGGGATCCAGTGTGTGAACGCAGCCACTTGTCACCAAGTCCGTTGCAAAAATGAAAGGGTTTGACTGGTTGCCGCCCTGAGAAAGTGGCCGTGTGTTTCGTCTGCAGGGGCGGTACGGTGGGATGGCTCCTCACATTGAAAAGGGAGGACACAGTCATTTTCTGGGAATGAGCAGGAATGCTCAGGGATGGGTGAATGGAGGAAAACACCACTATGGAGGTGCTTTTAGTGAGCAATTAGCCTTTGGCTAAAAGCTCCAAAAAGTTGATTTAATGTGATATGACTCCTTTTAAATAAATGTACTAATTCAAAACTACTTTTTTGATGTTTGGCACGGTCTTCCGTTACAAATCACAAGCATGTTAGCTTCATTTTCAAACTCTAAATCGTCCACAACTGAATGTGAGTGTGATTGGTTGCGACTCGTCCAGGGTGTACCCCACCTCTTTGTCAGCCGGAATTGGCTCCAGTGACAAATATAGACAATGAACGGGTGACGGATACCATAGACCTGACCCTCCAATGTGTACTCTGTATATTTCTGTAAATATGGCAAATGTGTCTTAAAAGGATCACTACCTATAGGTATCAACTTGTGCTCCCAAGGAAACAACATTCTACCGTCCAACACTTCCTTGCTTCCTTCCCCATCGCCTCTCTCCTCAGATCACCCCGGAAACCCGCGTCGATAACGACGTGACACCCGTACGCGCGCCGTCCCCAATCGTTCGTCCGCTGCTGCCGGGCACCATGAGACCACTCAGTCCGACAAGGAGAATCCCCAGCCTTCCCCTGGACACCGGCAACCCTCAAGATTTAGCCAACAAGAAGAAGAAAGGACTCCTCTCCAAGGGCAAGAAGCTACTCAAGCGACTGTCTCCTGCCAAATAAAAGCCGACATGTACAGCGTAGCCACTCCACTTTCTGATGTTTTCTCCAGGACTGGATGAGCCAGACTGAATATGGTTCAGTTCCTCTGTGATCCAAATCAATGACGTTTTGTGTAGTGCCATAAATCAAGATGGAAGCGACCACAAAAAAAAAAAACACACCCCAAAAAAAACATGACTGTGATGTATTTTAAATCAAGAGATTGTTTTCATAATGTCGAGTTGAATCTTTTTTGTTGTAGAAACGATTACATTCTCTCATACAGGGTACCTGGAAATGGTTACATACTTTGTGCAGTATGTTTCGGATGTGAACAGGTTGAAAAAGACAAATCCGGAGGTGATACTTGCCGCTAATGCAAGTGCATCTATTTTTGCCAACCGGCGTGAATACAGAGCGCAGAAGTTGGCGGAGGGCTGCACCGCTGTGGGTGTGGTCACCCTCGACTTCAATCACGGGCAATTAAAGTGGCTCTTTTTGACATGGCTGACTTTGACTTGGAGATTGCAACCCCCATAGCTGTGTCGAGTAATTGGATGATTTGAAAGAGTATAATAACGATGCTAGTGAAAATAATAATCAAGGCTCAACGGTTCAGAGAGTTTCTTCCAAACGAAACGTGCCATCATTTGTGCCAAGGCGTAGGTGAACCGTCTACGAAAATAGAATCCAAAGGTTTTATTCAGTGCAATATCATCTACCGGCGGAAGTATATGTGGTCGGGAAAGATTGATCAGAAATGGATTGAAATCATGAAGCTTTCATTCAAAAAGAGCTTTTGGAGCACCAGGCGAGCCTCTCAGTGGCCTTTTCCAAAAAACAGCAAAAGTGTGACATTCCTTGTTGGAGTTAATTTTTTTTGTTTTCTCCTTGAAAGTCAAATCACATCAGTTGGGTTCATAATTATTCGTACAATGACATCATTGTATTCATTTAGCCTCAATACATTATCACAGTACATTGATGTTTGGACACAATTGTTTTTGATGGCAAAGGAAGGGGTGCCATGTTCAATGCAAAATGTCTTTTTGTTGCACAGTTATATGACCGTTGGATGGAAAATCACATTTGTTGGATGTGATGCACTCATGTCTTGCATGTCTTTTTTTATTTTTATTCATTTTTTTTTCATCTCTTAAAATCGAGAGCTCACGTCACGTGACGTAACAATCATACACTTATTTGTCATCATATGAATAGAATATCTATAAAAGAAGCAGAGAGCCACGTTCAAACCTAGTTAAAGCGACAAATCAAAAAAGTTGGTTGTGTGACTATAAAAAAAATATATATATATATATATATATATATATATATATATATTATCGGATCGGATTTCTTCCAGACAGCCGCGCGTTGCCGAGGCAACGTTTGACATACTTTTTTACACAAGTAGGCGTTTTCAAGCTGATATTTACAGCATGTACAGATCATGTATTTGTACTTATTTCTTTATTGCAGTGATCAAAAAGTGCAGGTGGAACTGGAAAAAAAATATCACATTGGGTGGCTCACTGCTTTTTAATAATAATAATAATAAAAATAATAATAATACAAGTCTCTGCCATTGTCACGGTGACGGATAGTGGAGACCTCTCGTATTTTTATTTATTTATTTTTTTTGTGCAGCGCTTGTGCAAATGTGTTCCTCTCACTAAAATGCTCAGACCATGGTGATTTCAATACCTGATGTTATATAACACTGAGCGCATATACAATATTCATTGCCTTGGCTACAAAAGCTTCTGGTAATGTCGCTGGATTTGTCACACAGTGACGTGAAAGTAATTTACACTTAATGACCGGATGGTAGAGCCCCGGAGCAAAATTATTACCAATAGTAACTTTTGTTGCGTAAAATCATTTTTGTATACTTAAAAACAAACGGAAATCAAATTTTTAAACTAGTACTAAGTGAGACCTTTGAAATGCTTTTTTTTTTTTTTTTTTTCAAGATGTCTGAATTTGGAAGTGATTAATCCTCCACAATGTAACTCAGAGGCTACTGTATTTTGTGTCCAAAAGAAAAACATACTTACTGTGCATACTGCTTTTTGACAGCAGCATAGACACAGACATAAAAAATAAGGCAAGTGATTCATAAATATACTCATCATAACCATTGACAAATAATAATGATTTAAAAAAAAAAGGAGGGGATGTTTCATACCCAGTCATAAATGTTTCAGTGCAAAATACAACATTCAAGTGTATTTATCTCAAGATCCAAACAAAGGTCAATTCATCGTGAAATATTTATTCATTTACTAATAGCGACGCCGATTGATTTGTTCCATCTCAAAGTATAAACAATAAGAGTTCTAATAATACAATTATGTATGGGTGTTTTTGGCGTGAACGCTGTTGTTATTTTTTACTCCATCTGTTGATCATTTTGTAATGTTTCTACTTGATTTTGTGACAGCCTTTTATCAGTGCACTGAGTTGACAAAAAAAAAAAATCATGAACATTCTCATAGTGTCTTTCGAAATCAGATGTATATTCCACCGTATGTGCTATCTTTGTGATTCAAGTTGCGGAGAGAGAGAAAAAAAACAACAACAACAAATTATTGGGCAGTATTTAATGGTGATCGTGTGGGTGTGCATGTAAAAAGAAAAAGCAGACTTTTATAACCTGAATAAATTTGATATTTTGTAAAATATTTGCGTTTATTTGTGTAAGCTGTATGTGGTTTACTAAACTGGAAGGGATATTTTTTTTGTTGTTGTTGCTGTACAAATAGCGCGGTCCTGCTAACAGCGCTAGCTTCTGATCGGCATTGTTGACCCGGTGCGGATGTGGTGGATATTTGATTTTAGCGACGTGTTCCCTGCAGTGTTATAATAGTTCATGAGAACTATTCATTCAACTAAACCAAAAATATATTTTTCAATTTATACCATACATGAGATCTGTATTTATGATGGTATTGCTAGTCCATTCAAAAGATGGAACGTCAAATAGCCACTTGTGAATTTAAATTGACTTTACTTTCTTCCACAATGCTTACAAACTTTTTTTTTCCTTTTCTTGCACTCAACAAAACCTCCAAACTAATACTAAAACTAATAAAAATTAAACAAGGCAAGCATTTTTAAAAAGTTGAAAACTAACAAACCTGCTTTAAAAAACGAATTATAATTCAATGAATTAAAATAAAAACAAGTCAAAACTAAATAAAAACGACATATTATATATAATTAAAAATCCCAAATTATTTTAACCTATCTGAACCCTGGTTCACTATACGTGCCACACCGATCACTTCTCATAATGGGAGCCGAATCATTCCTCCCACTGTCCAGCAGTGTGATTGTTGGGATGATGGCTTACAAACTCCAGGAGTTGCCTGGTTTTCCTTCAGTAAAGGCCACTGTGGATGCTTGGAAAGGTTGCAATTTGTAATTTTCACCACCTGATGGCAATGTATCCTGTATTTTTAAATATTTCAAGAATGAGACTGGGAACCAGGAGACACTGTGGATGACTGGTTGAGCAAGTCCACCTCACAGTGCAGCGGTGCCAGGGTTCAATTATGGCTCCGGCCTTCCATTGTGGAGTTTACATGTGGATTTTCTCCGGTTTCCTCCAACGTTCCAAAAATATGCATGGTAGGCTAATGGAACACTCCACAGCCATTAAAAAAACGCCTTACTGTACATGGTAGTTAAAAAAAAAAGCCTTGCTCTACATGGTCGTAAAGGAAAAAAAAAACGAACCAAAAAAAAAAAACACCTTACTCTACACCTGGTCATTAAAAAAAAAACGGCTTACTATACATGGTCGCAATTAAAAAAAAAAAAAAAAAAGCCTGACTATACATGGTCGCTCAAAAAAAAAAATCATAATAAATAAATAAATAAGTCTTACTATACATGGTCATAAAAAATACATAAATCAATTTAAAAAACTTACTACAGTATATATTCGTGAGGATAAGCAAATTAAAAATCCGATGGATATTAACTGGTAAGACTGGTGAGTCACGGCATTTATGTATTTCAAATTACAAACTGCACAAAATTTTAAAAAAGTCAAAGAATAAAATAAGACAAAGTAAAAGAGGAATTAAAAACCATATTCATCGAAGTCACGTTGATCTTCATTTTCCCTCAAAGTCATTGACTGTGAATACTGGTCTGCTAAAGTTGAAAACGAAGCTATGATTCTGTTGTATGAATTGAAAGGAGTGGATCCAGTTTTATTGTACCTTCTACTCTCTAGTGGAAGGCATTTGACCGTTCAGGCTGTCACTGTGAGTTTCTGGCAAATAGTATATAGAAAAATACATTATTTGTAGAAAATGAAACCTTCATCAGTGCCCACCTCCTGCACCATGTTCCAAGTTTATAATAGTTTGGGATTTTTTTTTCTTGGATTTTATTTTCATCGTTACTTTTTGTTTCGTTTTGACTTTATTCGATTTTATCAGGCACTATTCCCCGCGAATAGCGAGGGTCTCCCGTGTATCATGTTTGACGTTTATCCTGTGCAGTTACTTTTCAGGCCTCCAGAGGGCAGCAATGGCTTCCCCTTTGGAAGACTTCAAGAACCATATGATGACAACGCGTGTTCGGTTGTAAAAGAATTTATTACGAGCTATTATGGAGAAAATACACACACACACACACACACACACACACACACACACACACACACACACACACATACATACATTCCCTCTCACACCCCACACACACACGTATACACCCAGATATATATATTGCATCTTGTGTCCCTGTTCTACGCCCACCTCTTCATCCTCTCACACACTCTCCCTTTTATTACCCCCTTCTCCTCCTCATGTCCCCCCGAGGGTCAAGTTTCTTGCCAGGTGTAAGCTCTCCATCACTCACCTGCCAGCTACCCCACCATCAGAGAGGGACACCAGGAGACATCCATCTTCCCCATGCCCTTTCTGAATATTTCAGTGAAACGCTCGTTTCAGCCTCTCACAGCAACGGGGTCGTTTAATTTTGATTTTGACACGCTGTGAGAGACTTTAGCGAGTGTGATAGCTCTCCTGAAAGCTGGACTTATTTGTTTGTCGGACACTGTGAGCAGCTTAAGTGGCACGGCCTCACATTAAAAGTGAAGTTATGAGGCTGAGCAGCAGCTCTAAACGCCACCCTTACTTTGCATATTTTAATGACTGTTTGCTTGCATAATGTATGTTATGTTTCCCCCGGTGCTTATATTTCATTTTAAAGGCCCCAGGGTAAAAATAACCTTTCGGGCCACCGCTGACCCATGTCCTCCTTCTACTGCTTTTCTTGTATTGTGTGCCTGCTGTTGGCATTATTTTGACCTTCTGGTGCAGTGGAAAGCTACACGTACATTATATTGTTTCATTCCAGCTACTGTAATGTAAACCAGGCGGAATCTTGACAACTTGCCAGCATACTGTACGTATACAGTATGTTCAGGCAAACAAACAACAGAGATGTCAGAACACATTTACAAATGCAAATACGTACATATTTTCCATACTTTCATGGATCACTGATTTAGACTGAGTTGAAGTAAAAGAAATCTGTCAAATGTGTGTATTCTATTCTATTCCATTCTATAGGTTTGTGCAGCGTGAACAGGATAATTCAGCAAATGCTTTTGTTGATGTTGCTATACGTGAATGAGGATGATGGTGCCCTGCTGGTTCAATAATAATTTCTCAGCTGGATTACTGTCAGTAAAGGTTAATCGAGTGGTTAATCATACAATGACCTGTCTGTGAACTGGACTCCGACGCGCCGGTCATAGTTGCAGGTGTCAGATGGAAGGTGAAAAGCTCCTCTGTGGATTTAATAGAAGCCTTTTAGGAGTCGGTGACTGCTTATATAAATCTGATAGTTTCATGTGCGGCGAGACACCTTTCTTTAAACATGACCCTTGTGGCTGGCATATGCCTTCTGCTCTACTTTGGCCTGGAATTTATTTGGAATGTCAGCAGCCAGTACGGTTGAGGAGGGAGAGACAGATAGAAGAGTTCATGCCAGCAAAAAGAAAAGCAAAAACAAAAGAAATCAATTGCAATAACTCTTGGCAGTATGTAGTTGGGGAAGGTGCTGGAAAGGGAGGAGGAGAGAGACTGATGCGGTGAGTTTGTTTATTCGGAAAAGTTGCAGTTAATCGTAAGTTGGGGTTTTTTTTCCATACTGCTGAACTTTTTGTTTTGCTGTGGCCTTTTAATGTCCTCCTCCTGCTGTATTCATCTTTGGGTTGATGATCAATGGTGAAAGAACTGTGCGGATTCTGCATTTTGGGAATTTATGGTAGAATAAAAAAATGAGTGCGTGAGGTGAACTTTTTTCTTTTTTTTTTCTTATGCAGGGTGCTTTGGAATTTTAATTTGGTTTCAGTGAAAATGTGCAACGCTATTGCATTTATTCACCAGGTTAAGTAGACTACCTCTATGTCGAGTCATCTACAACACCGATACTGTACCATTTAACCAGTCTTTGCTGCTTCTGAGTCGAGTTAAATGAAAGGTCCTGAGCATGATTTTTCTCCAAAACAATCTCAATTATATGAATTGAAGAAGCACAGCAGATTAAACAGACATTTTAGAGAGTGCATTCACTGTGCAAACGCCAACTGGAGTCTTTGGAATCTTTCCTGAAAGGTACACACTGTATATATTCCCCGTCAACCTTGGCAGTAAGCCAAGGAAGTCTTTATTTACCCAAAACGTCTGCCTCGCTTTTGACACCTTGTCTCAAAAACGTCCCTGAAGCAGGTGCAGGAGGATCGAGTTGGCACATTAAAAGGGGTCGACTGAGGAAATGAAGAAGGAAGTTTGAGCACGCTCACTGGACCTGTAGTACTTTTTGGACAATTCCAAGGCGGCTTCAATACATTTTTTGTTTATTACAAGTGAACACATTTTTAAAAAATGTGTCATTATAGTACCGGTACATACATTCAACAATGACAAGAAGTTGGAAAAAATTCAACCGTTATTGCCACTTTTTTTTTTTTGCTTTAATTCAATGGGCACTGCTCCTTCTGGCCACCTGGGGGCAGTATTAGAGAAAGATACACATTTCCAATACATGAAGAGGGGTCAGCTCCTCAATTAGTCGCAGCAATAATTAGCTGTTCTTTGCAGAGGATAAAGAATATATACCTGCATTTTTTTTTTTGTTTTTTATATTATCTGTTTTCAGCAACTCTTGGCTGACTTTGAACAGAGAGTCTAAACCAGGACAAGTCTCAGGACCAATATCAAGCTAAAAAATGTTCAGTGTTTTTATCCCCATTCCCTTTGAATTTTAACTAACGACTGACATAATGGTCAGGTGACCTGATATCTTACAGTTTACAGGAGGCACTCAGCAGACCATCGTCTCGTGACTGTTTTTTTTTTTCCATTTGCAATTGTGGTCAAATGTGTGCCGTCATCCCCTGCAGCTTATACCTGCGCCAATCTGTTCCATCCTGCGGCATCCGACATGATCCCATTCAACGCCGCTGCAGCATGAGAAGCCGTGGATGACATCGAGATCAAATTGAAAGTGACTCGCAGAGAAACCACTGATCCCTTTGACCTCGTGTGCATTTCATTTGCTCGCGGCTCTTCCTCGACCCACGTGGTAGTTAATCTGACACACTGCACATGTTTACTGATTTGGGCCATGGGAATGGTTTTGCGTGGCGCTGTCCTGCCGTGCCAGCCAGCGTCGTGCGACCTCACTTCTTTCTTGTCTTTTTTCACCCACCGTTCCACAAGAGGTGTTTTTTGTGTTTGTTTGTTTTTTTTTTTTTTTGTGTTACAATAAAAGGAAACTCCTCATCCATATAAAGCTGCTTTTTATTTGTTTTCTACCGCTGCAACACAGCAGGGATTCGCTTGACAAGATGCTTAATGTTCTCCTCCGTTTCACGTCTCTGGTGATGATTCTTGCTGTGCTTACTGCTGTAACAAGAGGTAAGTCATTTCTATGGGAATTTGATTTGCATGTGCACAGCTATTTGGCATAGTAATCATTTATTGCCCCTTGTAGGGTCCAGTTCGAAAATAGGGTTCCTTGTTCGATGAAAGGCTAATGGCGCACTTTCTATTTGTCCCTGAGGATAAACTGAAAAGCAACAGCATGTGTCTCACTGCCATACCAGCATCTTGCCCAAGTCTCCATTCCGAGACTGCCTGGGTTTTATCGATCTGCTGTTCTACAGTACGACCTTGACTTACGATTGACCGTTTTTTTTTTTTTTTTTTTTTTAAATACAGGCTTTTGCTCTGTGTCTTAAATTGAGAGCAAAAACTTGAGCAACAAGCAGCTCCGGTGGCAGCAAACTTCACAACAAGCAGCTGTGTGGCAGAGAGTAAGCAATTCGTCACAAGATGCCAAAGCTTGTTGAATTTCACAACTTAACTAAATGAAATATAAAATAAAGAGAATTACATATTGTACATTTAAAAATTAAAATCAACATCAACATTGTCTTTCCGGTGTCTGTTGACTTCATGATTAAAAAAAAAAATTGCATCATTGTTGTGGTTGTTGTCACCCTTTATGCATTGCAATCATGGACACAAACGGTGTAGCAACACATGCAGACTTAATTGACCATCATTTCCCCAAAAAAAGGTCCTATTTTTTTCATCATTCATCATTATGGGCTGTATATCTTTATGAATCACACAATGGTAGCCAGGGAGTGGATACAACAATGAGCAGCACAACGCCCACTGAATTTTCATTCTTTAATGAATATTATGTAATAATATATGTATTGTCTTCTTTCTGTGGGAGGGCGTAACATTGAACAAGTGAGAAGCGCTGTACTCGAGTCATGATGGGTGAAGTCGATGTCCATCTCATGTCCATAGTCAAGGAGCTGTCAAGTGAAGCGGGGGCAAAAAGTCACTTCCTCAAGGAAGTATAACTTGAAACTCCGAACTTAATTCCTTTCTTGTCACTGAAATGAGTGGTTCGAACTGAGCTGTCGGCTCACTTCTTCACATTCAGGGTAAAGGTTCAGCTAAGTTCCTGTTTCTACTTTTGTCAAAGTAATCAATTTCCTGTTTTTCTCACTTTTCCATCGTGAGTTTAATTTTCCATTGCCGTAACTGCGTGAGGGATGGTCATTGCATTTCAGTCCGTTGAGTAGCGTGACCTCATCACCTCCATCATTCCGACACCCACCTCACCTACCTACTGTCTCCTTTTCCAACAAAGTTCCAGGTCTTCAGCCTCTTCACTAAAGAATTATTTGGTGTTCTTCTTTGAAGTATGTTCATTGTTCAACTCTTCTTTCTAACCATAGCACTTCTCCTGTTGGGGTCTCGAGTTGAACTTGAGCATGTCCCAGTTGATTAGGGGCGAAAGGCGGATTACCCCCTAGCCTGGTCACCAGTCAATTGCAACCATTCACTCTCACAATTCCAATGTCACTCCGTGGAAACTGAACCCACTTTGCATGCACCAACGTCAGACCAATGAATCACGACCTTCAAATCTTCTATTCTACTTTTTCTTCCTCCCAACAGATGTTGCAACCCAGCAGATTCCAACTCCACTACCGGTTTATCCTGCAGTCAGATTTCAGGTCCTCAAAGCTGATCATGTGGTTCTGAGACAGGATAGTCCTGGACCACAGGGGAACTCCAGCCAGAAGGCTCACACATGGACTTTCCTCATCACTGATCCAGGACCTGGTTTACTCCGGCCAGTTCTTAATGCCTCGTATGGTCCACTCAGTGTGGACGCCCCTATTCCGCCGGAGCTGCTGCTCAGCGGGCGCAGGATTGTGCCGGTCATTTTAGGCCACCAGGTGCGTTCCTCATCCCCGGTTGTCAAGATCCTCTTCAACATGCCTCGCGAAGTCGCCGGCGCTCAGGAAAAGTCGGAGGATGGAGCTCATTGTGTGACGGCTTACGCCTTCTGGGGGACGAGGGAAGTCCGCGGGGCGTGCCTGGTATCGCCGGATAGTTTCTGCGTGGCAGAACTGAAGCCGGAACCGGCCTGGTTCGGTTCGTCCACTCGATCCGGCGGCTCCAGCAAAGAGGCGGGGCGAACCGAAGCTGCAAAGGGGTTTCAGAGCAATCTGGTGGAGGTCTACTTCCAGAGTCGGATGGACAAGACAGGCCAATGTACACCACAGGATAGTCTGCAACGAGTGGCAGTTGGGAGGGCGGGCGTCCAGGAAGGGTCAGGAACACCCATGAGAAGGATAGGGAGTGTTAACTTGCTTAAAACTCCACCTGGGAATGCGACCTTTGTTCGTCTGAGATTAGGGGGCGCCTTGGTCATCCAGACTACTTCCAAACCACTGAAATCCAATGACGTTGTGACTTTTTACGTCTTCTTGGCCAGTACCTCAACCTTGGAGAGTTTCACACTTCGGTAAGACGAATATTTGATCACTTTCTCTTGACGGTGTTGAGAGATTGATGTTTTTTGAAGTTATTAGAGCCACATCACCGCCGCAATTATGTAAGCTTGCAACACCTCGCAGAGAACAAGCCGTCGAGAAAAAAGATGCGAAAGGATACTAAAGAAACAACAGCAGTAAACATATAAACACTTGATCTCTACCTTGCCTCAAAATCTTTTGGATTCAGAGACAGAGTGGCTGTTGGGAATTTACAGAAGAATATATAATTTTTCTGAATGGTATATTTCTAGGCCTGTTCTGGATCACGGCCGATAGCAGCCAATCCTCATCCCCCATTTCGGCAAATGATGGCCCGCCGACGACAACTTTTCAGTGCTTTACTGCCTCCCCTCACCATCGACAATTATTTTTCGGCAAGTGACGGCCATCTCCGACGACTGAATTTTGCTCCCAGAACATCCCTGGTTTGAAAAGAAATCACGTTGAATCACCGGGACATCCGACGGGTTGCGAGCAACATCACGAGGGAGGATCTCCCCCATGCATTTAAATGCTTGCTTTCAAGGCATTTAAATGCTGATGGGGCTTGACATGAGTGCCACCACGCCTGCCGCGGCCTGCCACTTTCGCCGTCTTCATAAATTACTGACATGTTTGATTCTGTCTAATGTCTCAGTGAGTGGGTGGGGCGGAGGGGGTGGCGGGGGTGTTCTGGACGGCACTCTCACATAAGCAGGTACATAATTGGCAATTGATTCACTGGTGTTCGTATCTCAACATCCCGCCGACATCCGAGCAATTTCTCTGGTTGTTTGACTCCATGAATAATGTATCTTGTTTCATGGAGCATGAAAACAAACATCTTTCCTGATCCTTTGGGTAAGAGTGAAGATAATATAGAATAAAAAAACACAGAGCGCATTCTGTTCAAAGTTTCTGCCGGTTGCGTCCTGGCGCACATCATTGTTGTCGACTTGCAGAATTTCTATTTGAGCGCTCCACATTTGTGAGCTTTCCCGTGTCACCCGGTTGTATCTGTTCACGATCTAATCCGCGATATCACGCTGCAAACGCACTGAACATAATCTGCAGGGAAAATGGAGAGACATGCGAAGATACCGTATGCGTGTTAATCCATGGAAAGAAAGTTAAACCCGTCCCACTGACCATCTCCTGCATGGTGCTGACCGGACACAAACACACTAACCCAGTGACCTGATGCAGCTCAGTGTCCGTCATTAAATGACATGAATACGATTGGGTGAAGTGGCGCTGACCCCTAAACTAAATCTGCCTTTTTTTTTTCTTCCTGTTACGATTTGGAATTTTATCCTCTTCACCTGAAATCCCTTTTTGAAAATCCTTCCTACTGACTGTACAAGTGAAGTTGCTCCGTTCGGGTCAGTGCTTTCAAGTCCTCGTATGTCTGACCTAGTGCCACATCCAGAATGAGATTGGCCCAGAGTCCCACACTTAAATCCGAGTGAAGGTGCGCTCTGAGGAGCTTGGCGAAATGATTGATAGGTCCTGGGTGAAATCCTTGCTCCACTTCATGACTTTGGCTGAAGATTGAGTCTTCTCCAGCGAGACTTGGCCAGATTATCTGTGGCCCTTGATTGAAAATGAATCAAGAGGTTAACCCTGAAGGGAAGAGATGATTTGAGTCGACTGTGAGGATTAAGCCGATGCATCTGTGTGCCTGTTGTATGTGCATGCATAACGCCTGTTAGGCACCGCGGGATGCGTGTGCGCATGCTTATTTTTAATCTTATCATCAGGCGCACACTTTACCTGCTGTACGTCTGATTGGACAGACATCGCTTTGTTAGCATGGGATCGGAACCAAAAACATAAGTAATTTTGGAAAACATTTGCATTGTGGAACTAATCATACAAGGTCCGCCATCGGCACGCCCCCACCTCAAATCACCTATCCGGGCGATCTACAGTATGCGATTGGAATTTTGTGCGGTTTGTATAAACCTAACAACAGCGTATGTTGCTAGCACCCGGTGGTGGCTAGGAACTTTCAGTCCAGTATGAGCCATTTGGAATCATCAAGATTGAAAATGGAAATTTAAACGATCCTACGAACACTGCGAGGGTCTAAAGTAGCTGAGTCACATTTCCAGAAAAAACCCCACATAAAATTAATATGTAATTGAATATGATATTTCCTGATATACATCAGGTCATTTAAAAAAACAAAACAAAAAAAATTTTGTATGCCCGACGCATTGGATTAAAGTGGCATATATAGCGTATGTGCCGTTTCCACTTGTATATCATTTTTCAAAAGCTTTTCCCAGTGGCCGCACTGCATATTGATTCACAAATTGATCTCAGCCCTCGTCCGGCGTGGTCTGAAATGTCAGCGTTTGTTTGTCCATTTCGGTGTAATACTTCACTGTAGTTTGTCTGTGACCTTGACCCAGCCTCTCCGCTAATTGATTGTTCCCTTTATGACTGTTTGAGTGCGAAACATTCTGTGTGTTGGTTACACCACTTTCATGTTAAATTTCCTTATTTTGAGGACACGAATTGCAAACGCAGACAGGTTATTGCTGCTATTACGATCCTCGAACCCCCGTACATATTATTTCCTGTACTGTGTGATTTTAGGTTTCTCTATATGTGCCCCGCAAAATTGTCCAGGGTGTATCCGGTCTCTTGCATGTTGTCAATTGCTCCAGTTCAATCACACCTCTGATGTAAGAAAGATGGCATGCAACAAAAAAAAATATTCCTATGCTTGTACTTTTAAAAAATACATTTTTTAAGCCATTTCACTGCATTAAAAAAATACACACCAATGGCAGTTTAAAAAAAAAAAATCATAAAAAAATCGCAGGAAGCACAAGACAGTCAATGGAGAGTCGGAATGGACCCAAAAAGAATTGCAGCTCACTATGTGACATGATTCCAAAAAGGTTTTTCAGCAGGCAATTACTAAAAGAGTTCCACTTCAGCCCCCCCCCCCCCCAAAAAAAAATCTGGAATTTCTTTGCGAGCAAAACAACGTGGAACAGCCTCCCTTTGACTGGTGGAGCTGACTCTCGTCATTTGTTCCTGTTCCTGTCATTTCAGTGTTTTGTTCTACACAATAAGAATATGGTGCACTTTCAGGCCACTACAGAAAGATAAAAAAAAAAGATTTCTTCCAACAGCTCACATCCCCACTTATATTGATTTAGTGTTTGACAAAGAGAGAAAAAAAAATCTACAGTGAATTGAAGCATGGTTTGGAAAATAGGCAATATTTCCTTGTCAACGGTTGGCAAGAGAACCTTCGTCATCAAGTGACACTTGGAAAGCGCAACACGATTGTATTTTTTTTGAGTCGATATTTTTCCAAATGATTCCAGCCGATATGTTGGAGCTTGATTGAGCTGCTCCCGATTTCCCTGTGAAACATTTCCGCCTCTTCCCTGAATCCTCGCCGTGAGGAAAGTTGCATTGTTTTCGGAGACAAATGATTTGCGACTTCACACGTTACATTTCATGTACGCCAAATCACTTACACGCTTATGACTCAAAGGTTCGTGCTATGATCTATTCCTAGAATGCATCAGGACTGTTGTGATGTAACGGGACAGACGATAGCTTGATTACTCTGTCAACTCAGGTGTCTGTCGGAGCCTCCTGGGACGGTTGCTTCCATTCACATTAGTCATCAAAAGTGTCAGTGCTGCGCCAATCTGTCTCGGCGCCAACAAAAACTAACGCTAACGCTAATAAATGCTAATTCTAAATCTGGACAATAATGCTTTTGAAATCATTTCCCTTTGCGTCGAGAAATACCCAAAGAGTGCCTTATAACACGGGTTGGCGGATTAAAGGAATTCAAATTCAAAGCCTTCAGACATGAAAACGATCCAATTCACGTAAAGTGTTTCTTTTTGGTGTATTTATTTACTGCAGGGCGACATTCAAGCCGGCGTTGTCGTTTAACGCCGTACGGCCCAGTGACCCGATGCTGTGGGATGTCAAAGCGGAGCCCGGCAGAGTCGTCATACCGAACACCGTCTCTGTTGTATGCCGGAGGAAGCTTGCAGTTACGGCAAAGAGGTCAGTACGCTACATTTGGATCGCGTCGTCACATACTGCGTGAAGTTAGCGTAAATGGTTTGTGCAGGTTTACGATCAAAGCACAGACAATACACATACGATATCAGATTTTAAAGAAAGATATGAAAGTGTCAAAGGCAAACGAAAGCTGCGAGCACTTTTTTTTGTACATCTGCGGGGGCTACACGTGTCTCCAAATTTTCTGTAGAGGCGCTGCAGATGCAATTTTTTTTTTTTTTGTTACTTGTGTATGGCAACTTGATCAAAATGTTCACCAGGCCAGATGTGAGTGCAAATTTTTGGTGAACTTTTTGTTTTTGTTTAAACCCTCAAAATGCAATTTATGGCTAAAAATAATGCTAATCTCAACAGAAACAATAAGGACCCCATAACACCTGATTTCTTTCCCTCACTTTATTAGAATCAATATGGAATTGGAATGGGTACATCTTTAACAATTGTGGCGCCGATACCCTTTCGGGGCCTTTCGCTGTTTATTATTTATATGTTGACATGTAATTACTGATTTATAACTGTCTCCAAAATCAATGCCGTTATTCTGATGACACCATTGCCTCCTGATAGTCCGTGCTGCCCAAGTGCCTCTAATTTCATGAGCTTTATGATGAATGACCGATGAATATCATACGATACGTTCACATTAGCGCCTCGTGTTCCCATGCTGTGGGATGTCAAAGCGGAGCCCGGCAGAGTCGTCATACCGAACACCGTCTCTGTTGTATGCCGGAGGAAGCTTGCAGTTACGGCAAAGAGGTCAGTACGCTACATTTGGATCGCGTCGTCACATACTGCGTGAAGTTAGCGTAAATGGTTTGTGCAGGTTTACGATCAAAGCACAGACAATACACATACGATATCAGATTTTAAAGAAAGATATGAAAGTGTCAAAGGCAAACGAAAGCTGCGAGCACTTTTTTTTGTACATCTGCGGGGGCTACACGTGTCTCCAAATTTTCTGTAGAGGCGCTGCAGATGCAATTTTTTTTTTTTTTGTTACTTGTGTATGGCAACTTGATCAAAATGTTCACCAGGCCAGATGTGAGTGCAAATTTTTGGTGAACTTTTTGTTTTTGTTTAAACCCTCAAAATGCAATTTATGGCTAAAAATAATGCTAATCTCAACAGAAACAATAAGGACCCCATAACACCTGATTTCTTTCCCTCACTTTATTAGAATCAATATGGAATTGGAATGGGTACATCTTTAACAATTGTGGCGCCGATACCCTTTCGGGGCCTTTCGCTGTTTATTATTTATATGTTGACATGTAATTACTGATTTATAACTGTCTCCAAAATCAATGCCGTTATTCTGATGACACCATTGCCTCCTGATAGTCCGTGCTGCCCAAGTGCCTCTAATTTCATGAGCTTTATGATGAATGACCGATGAATATCATACGATACGTTCACATTAGCGCCTCGTGTTCCCACAGCACGCATCTCTGTCCAGCAACGTTCGCACCCAGGCAGACCGAGCGGGCCGACCGCCCGCCGTCCGGCCCGACCCACTTATCCGTAATCATCCATAATCACGGCTCCGTTATCCAGGCTTAAGCGCTTGCACGTTCCGAAGGGAGGGGGTGCGGGATTAGAAAGGAAGAGATATTCCAAGCCGTGTCCGATGTACCGGGCTCACCAGGGCAACCCTCCCTCCCATCCTTTCAACACCCGCAAACACACTGGATTCTCAAGTAATATGACGGGCGGTTTACCCCCCCCGCCCCTGCCCCCCAATAGACGGATTTCCAGGAAAAAGGGGCAAAACCCCTCCTTCCGTGTTTCTTTTTCCCAATCTCACACACGCTTACTGGCGCAGACAGTCCGACCAGTTTCAGCAAAGCAGCTACACGCGTTACCTGTGTTCGTTTCAATTATTTCAGAAAATGTATATCGTATTAGGAATGAATGCAAAATGCTACGACGGGTCAAACATATTTCGCTTGAGTGGTGTTAAAAAGCGTCACAGATGTTGACTTGTTTAACCTGATCCATCAACGCCAGCGGATTTACAGTTTGGGGTTATTTTCGTAGAACGCGCTGGCGATGATTTTAAAAGCCGGTTAGAAGTAGAACTGATATTTTAATGTCGTGCACGGGGGCAGCACGTCTGACTTCCAGACGCTTCGGAGATTCGGGGTTCGAATCTTGGCTGAGTGTGGAGTGTGCACAAGCTAAAAACGCGCGTGATGGATTCATTGGATATGAAGTTCTCTATCGGTGTGAATGTGAGTGTGAATTGTTATTTTCCGATATGTGCACTGAAAATTTGGCTGCCGGCCACTGTAGAGGGTATCCAATCCCTTGCTGGGGACCCAAAATAGGGCACGTGCGATTGAAAATGGATGGACAATATATTCATTTTTCTGAAGCCTTGGTGTGTAGAAAAAAACAAACCAAAAACATTTTTACTTCAGTTGGTTGTTAGATGCATGGGTTGTGATGATGTCAATAAATTATTTATAGTTTTTACATCAGTATTTATATAATGTTTACTTTTGTTTGGGGGGGGTTGCTTTCGTGTCAAAGCAGTCTGACCCTCTTTGATGTTTCACTTTTTTTTTTTGTGATGAGGGAGCTTTTCGTGAAACCATTTCACTTTCTGTTTACCTTCTTTTAATCTACCAAGCCGACATTTACCCAACTCATATTCTGTATCCCAACTTGCGGCAGACTTGCTAATCAATATTCCACATTCCATATTCCTGAAAGCAAAATAATCAGATATTGGACAAAAATAAAATCATGCGCTAACAAGTTGTCACATTTTGCCTGATTGTGGAGTAGTTGGAGGACCCCCCGCGCCCCAAAAAAAAAGCAGGGAGTCAGGGAAGATTGACCAAAATGTATTGAACAAAAATACACACAGGAAAAACACGAACTAAATACTCAAATAAATTTCCTGGAAATCACAAGGAATCCAAAATCACAAACAAAACTATGACAGGAGCACACGTTTACTCTCACCCTCACAATGACCCAAACAAAACTGACAGAACTGAGGGAACTAAATACAAGCAAAGTGATGAGACAACGAAAAACACCTGGACAAGACACGAGCTGATTGGTTAAACACAAGGGACCCAGATGATGAGAACGGGTGGCGACAAAAAGGGGCACATGAGGAAACAAAATCAAAACGTGACCCAAACAAAAACATAACGCAAGCAGTGCGGCTGCCGAGAGGCGAAATGAAATTCAGTGAGGAGTCGTGCAGAAAACGTGTTGAATTCTAATGAGCGTAGATGATTTGGAACCGGAGCGGAGGCTTAAAATAAATTCACGAAAAGCTGATGACGACATAAAATATTGTTAGTTTGGTGTCCTTGGTTGGAACTAAAAAAAATGCCATTTTGTGACTACACAGAGAGCTTTTGTCACCTTACATTGCAGTACAAAGAGTGTTTCAAACATTTCCATGCTGATATTTTTTTTCTTTTCTGGGCATTTAAGGAGGCCAGACCAGCTGACTAAATCATCGCTCCTCACACTCATCTCATTCCCCAAATGTAGTGCGGGATTGATTTTTTTTTATTTTTTTTTTTTATGGCACTCTTGCTCGCTCCTGAGTTTGTTGTTTTTCTCAGTCGATTCCACTTCCTTGATGTTCAATATTTTCTTGTCTCTCAACCGAGTAAACAAAAGAGTTGCAAACCTCTTTTGAATGCATTTTAAATGTTTGAGGAAAAAAAGACCGCATGTAGGTCTCAGGTGCGCGTTGATGCTGTAGCACAAGCAACGCCCGGAGCAAATTCATATTTTTGGTTTTGTTTTTTTTTCGATTGAACCCAAAGAAATGCGGTTGTCAGTGCCCTCCATCTTGTGAGGTCACGGGGTTATCATGCCCCGATTTATGATCACTCAAATTTATGAAAACTTGCTACAAAATCCTGCCCAAAAAAACTTTCTTAGGTACAAATTACAATATTTTGAATTGAACAATTGAAATAAATGTACTTTTGTGCAATATTCAAATTCATTGCGATACACCTCTATATCATCCATTTTGACATGACTCTCTGCAGCAAGAATCTTCTTGAAGTTCTCCAATTGGACCTGGTGGCAAAATATGTCTCTGAGCTGGTTGAGACTCACACCATCTCCTGGAGACTGGATCAACCAGGGAACGTCAGGGATGTGGGCCAGATGCGCATCTACACCACCCAGAGAGACTATGTGGGACTGGCCCCTCTGGTCATGGTAAGAAGCGTATGCACGCCTTTTGCTTGTTTGTTTGTTTTTTTGTGTGTGAGATGGAGCCAACGAGGGCTAACTGGATGGATGGTGTTTTGACAACTTTTCTCCCTCACGCTCCTCTTTCATAAAACTCAGGTATTGTTAAGATGGTGAAAGAGGTTGAAAAGAAATGAGCAGAGGATACACAAATGGTTAATTCTTAATGAAGATAGTATGTTGGGATTTTATGAGAGTCGTGGTAGGTGCTTTATCACCTCTAACGGTTATTCGCATCGTGCTTTATTCCCCCCTTGTAAAGTCGCTTTTATTAGCCTCTCGCTAAGAAGGTTTGATTGATCGCGTTGATGCTTGCTGTCCTTTACTTTGTTTTCAATTCAGCCTAAGTACATAGAGTATTATTTTTTTGTTTTTTGGGGGGGAGAGGAGGGGTTGAATCAACAGAGGCAAGCGGTTTACAATAGTCGAGGACAACTTCTTTGTTGTTTACTAGCTTCTCGCTAGATGCTCATAAGCTAGCATTTGAAGCGAATGACAAAAGTATGGTAGCGGAGGCTAATCATGGAGACATTATCATGGCTTCAAGAAACGAATGGTGAAATGAGGGGTCAATTTTTGCAAGTTGGAATGTCGGTCTGGTTTTTTTTTTTCAGTTCAGTGAATTGACACTGAAAGAAACTAAAATGTGTAATGTCTACTGAACCTTTGACAGGACACAGACAGTAAACATTTGCCTGTTTTTTTAATACCGTACATCTATTTGTAGGTGAACGTGTTAATTTACACCAGAATGGATTCTTTATTCCTGTGGCCTCTTAAAGATTTAGTTTTTTGCAGACGACTTGGAAATGCCCGTGCAGCAAAATGCAAACAGAACCGAACACATATGAAAATATAAATCAAGCAAAATACAGACGACGCTAGTGAACATTTCTTTCTTTTTTATATGAGACAACAAATAGTAAAGAACTCAAAGTTGTTTTTTTTTTTTTTTTGGTCATTGTGGCCTCTGACTTTTGAAGTGATTTTTTTTTTTTTTTTTTTTTTTATCTCTGGGGAGAAGAAGAGATTGCTCAGGTGGGTGGAAAGAAAGGGTAGCTGAAGAGGCTTTCAAAAAGTAGACAGATGGCCAAGGGCTTGCTTTTCAGAAGAAATTACCGTGAGTGGGTGCACAAGTCGGAAAGTCGGAGGATTTAAAACAGCGGAGGGACCAGAACCTCAGGCTCACTCTTGTTGCTTGGCTTGCCACCACTTATGCAAACAAAGACAGGAAGAAAATAAGATGTGAGTAGGGAGGTAATTTGCCCCCCCCCTCCCCCCTCCCCTAACACACACAGCTTAATTTTGTTTGCCGAGCTCGTCTTCCTTCCACACAATGTTGGCAAAAATTAAATAAACAGGCGGATCCAAGTGGACATGGCAGAAAATGTAATCCAACATTTGCAAATGAGGTGACAACGGTTTTGTACTCAAGCGTCCTAAAAGCGACACTGACTACTGCGCTGACGTTGCTTTACTGATTTAGTCCTAGCCTTGATCCACTGGCTTATGTTTGGGCCAGTGTTGCGAGCTCTAATAGAGCATGTCTTTCTTTTTTTTTTTTTTGGAAAATTGCGGTCAGCAGCTGTCAAACCGACCGAGCTCGGATTGCGAAGCAGGCGGCCAACATCTGCCGAGTGCCGCTCGATACTTCAGTCCACACGCCGTCTCGGTGGAATAAAAAAAAAAAAAAAAAAAAGATAAATAAAAAATGCTGATCAGCCTTAGCTTCTTAGACACAGCGTCTAAAATAAATTAAAACGGCAGAGATCTTATTAAGTGGAAAGCAGCCGTAAATCCATGTTGAAGGACTAGTTAAAAGTTGGAAACTAAAGCCAGATCAGCCTTTCTTAAGGGCAACTTACAAGGGCGCACATGAGCCCCAGCTGCTGAGAAGCATTGATAAACTTCAACTACGAGGTGGCGTACGCTTCAGGAGATTAAAAATGTAATCACGTTTGGATTTATTATAAGGCACTGGAAAAGTGCATCCGTGAAGACCACCGTATTACACCTGCTTTGTAATCCAGGTGTACACGCCTCACTAAGATCTTGATCTAAATTGCACTGTGTGTACTTTCTACATACATCAGAATAACACTTATCATATCTTTAATACCTTAACCCTTTCAGGCACGGCGGTTACTACAGTGGACAGCTTTTGATGTGACCAGGTTACAGGGGGCACGGAAGGGTTAAATTACCCTCAGTATAAAAGAAAAATACTATTTGTCACCACACACGATTTCCTTGAATTTCTGTGAAATGATGAGGCGGAGGCAACATTCAATTTTTGGCGCAGGGAAGCAGATGGACGGACACAATGACGATATGGCAAGGTTACGACACACGTGGACGCGCATATCCTGCAATCTCACAATTCTGAGGCCGTCAGGTGCATCCTTGGCGACACGGTGAACATGACCGAGATGTCACTGTTTATCAGAACATCCATAGTCAGGGTTTCATGGAATAAAATCCACGGCTCATTCATTCCACTCGTATCGAAGAAGCAAAAGGCCCGGGGAAAGATATAACAATTCCTCACAATTCTAAAGGTTGCTTTTTTTTTTTTTTGTATTTTTTGCCCTCCAGAGCACCGATATTTTGAATACCGCCGTGCTAACGGGCAAAGTGGTGAAAGTGCCCGTGAAAACTTTAGCCGTGGAAGCCAGTGGCTCCGTCACAGATGTAAGCAGCCTAACCAGCTGCAGGTCCACCGACAAAGAAGTGCTCAAGGTAAGCAGAATTCCAATCACGCGCCATGTGGTTTCGCACCGAGTAATATTTCCTCATCATATCTAATTTTCTGTGCAGTGTATTATTATTTTTTGAGGTTTTTTTTTCTTGTTTTTTTTGGGCTATATGACTCGATGTGTCTCACCAAGAATTTGTCCCACTTTTAATGGCCGACGTATGAAAGCAACCTCCCACACACAAGGTATTATGGGGTACTCATCCCGACCCTCAGTGCGGAAGCACAGCGGGTTGACCTTTGTCTAATGGCTCCATGTTATGAGGAGAGCAGTAGCAGAGAGAGAAAAAAACAAAAGAGAAACAGTAAAAGAAAAGTCTTGACAGTTTGGCTTGGCGAAAGTCAGTGTTTAAAGTGAGTCGTTGAAGAGACAGAGAGAGACGGAGAAATTGTTCATCATGACTTTTTTTTTTTTTTCTAAAATGCTACACCTGCAGGTGTAATAATCCGGTTAATATCGTGGCCCTGAAAGAGCTTTTAAATATAGTGGGATCAGTGAGCTCTCTTGATCAAACATCAATGATCAGATGAAGTTTAAGCATGAAGACATTCTCACCTTGAAAACAGTCTCCGGATATTGCATTTGCACAAAACGGTAATCGTTGATTTAAAAGGGAATCAAGAGTAGCAGAAATTTGTCAACATGGCCGACACGGCACAGAAAAATAGTCTTGAAAATTTGTCAATACGACAAGAGCGAATTAAATCCTGCAGTGTAAATGGAGTTCTTTTTATATATTTAATCGAAAAAAAATAATTTTATTCATATTTTTAACCGCATCATTCATTATATTTTATGTGACGTCTTACTTTCTTGACTTCTTCATACCAACGGAGGCAAGCGGCCGATGTCAGGTGGAAGGAGAATATCCGGGAATATTTGCAAAGTGCCGGCAGGCAATTTGCTTGAGGTGAATCGTGCTACGCTGTAGCGAGCGTCTCGCTGCTCCCCATCTGCGGACGACCTGCGCGCAACGTCACGTGTTATATTTCCTCTTGGAGAAGCCAATAAATTGGAAATCAGAAAATACCGAAGAGCACCAGACCCTTTCCGGCGGAAGTAATTTGACATGTTGAAGGAAAAGGCTTCATGGGCAACCTTCCACAGCATTTCCACCGGGATTCAAGTTGACTTAGCTCGAAAAGTCATTCCTCCCTCTGCTGTTCCCTCACATTTTTTTTTTCCCACCTAACCTCTTTTATCTTCCCTCTCTTCTGGCGCTACAGCCTATTCTCCAGTCTGGTGCTCTCCCAATTACCTCTGTGGAGCCACTGGTTTGTTAAGATAAGTGAGGCGGCGGCGGAAGAGATAGGCCTCCAATCTTAAATAAAACACACCAACTGCCGCGTCGCACCTCATTGCGCTTAATGGCCGCGACGCCAATGCTCCCACCTAGAGTACCGCACTAAACGTGCGGTCGTAAGACCGGGTTGATTTACATTCGGTCGCAGTTTCATCAAGACTCCGGTGTGACTTCTTCGATTATATTTGGCAACGATAGAGATAGACGTGTGCATCGCGTGACTAGTTAAAACAAGGAGTCGATTGTAGCTTTACTGCGTTGGTACCCTTGACGCTTGGATTTTACTACTCGAGAACACATCCGGCCCTTTTTCGGGCCCTGGACGGAAGTATAAGGACACTTGGTCACCGCACATACAGGAAGGGAAAATTTGGAGGAAATTTGGAGTTCATCCAAGGAGTGGGAGCAACCACTGGGCCCTTTAGCCTAGGGCTTTTCTTTCACACCAAACTCATGCAAGCGTTCTCTTATGGAGCATCTTTTGTCATTCTTGAGTAGAGAAAGACTGTTGGAAGCACAGGAGCGCCTAAATTGTCTTGGAAAGATGAACGAAGCTTCATCCTGATGAATGAAGCTTCATCTTTTTTTTTTTGTTTGTTTTTGTTTTTTTTTGGCATAGGTGTCCGAGCGCTGCGACTTTGTGTTTGTCACCGGCAAGGAGTCGAGAGGGAAGAGTCGAGTGATGATCAACTTCACTTACGGTTTCCTAAGCGCGCAGCTGGAGATGAGCGTGTGGAGGCCCCGCCTGCCGTTACGCATCGACGTGGCTGACCCCGAGCTCAACCAAATCAAGGGCTGGAGAGTCCCCATTCCCACCAGCAACCCAAAGTACGGTCATTTCTGTGGAGTGGGACTTTTTTTTTTTTTTAATCCATTTCCACCTCATCTAAATTCACTTCATTTTCATGGTTAAGGCAAGTCATACGGATGAAACGGTCTGCTTCTAGGGTGTACTCTTACTTGGATACTTCTGCTCCTGTGCTTAGCCCTCGCTCTCCTGATCCTGAGTCACCCCCACCACGTTACCCCTCATCCTAATTGAATATTACATATTGTACAAAATACCGTATGCAGTAAGAGTTAAATCTTAGTTTCAACTTGTCTACATGCGGTAGCTCATCACAAAAAAAAAAAAAAAAAAATGTGCGTGTTGGGCATTAGTGGCCAGGATGCAGAGGAAGTACATATGCCCCCGAGATAAAGGTTATCGGATCAACGCTCTTCAGTATAGTCATTATTTTTCACTCAATACGAACGATGACGGTTGTCTGGTGACCCGTTTGCTTTCTACAGTGTGAACAATTGAATATTTTGGTTGCTTTTCACTTCCTGTATCACATTGCAGCAAACAACCAGGTCAGAAATTGAAAAGTTTCTATGGCCGATGACAAGGAAAAAGTGGCCCAGGTCTGTTTTAGGCCGTCTCTGCGTGCCGGATGCACGTGTGACTGAAGCAGAAACTTTTGCACCTCTACCTCACATTTCTGATGTTCGGGTTTGAATCTCAACTCAGGCTCTCGTATATCCCATGTGCTGCAGTCGATCTAAATAAGTTTATATAACGCAACATACAATTTTACAAAAATTGTAAAAGTATTATTCCTGAATATTTATTTCACTTTCAACCACTCGACATGTTCAGTGGCATCAGTGCTATACATACACATATAGTTCTTATTTTTTTCTTTGTATTTTTGCCCTCTATGGACAATAAAAGCGGTATTGTGCTATGACCAAAACATCAATATAAATCTATATAAATAAAACATGAATTGGAATATTTCATATCACACACTTTTTATGCTGTGTCTTTGATTTAAAGATGACAATACGCATAAATCTACAAAAATTGTAGAAATTGTAACATATGGGGTAACCCATGTGTTACAAACATCGTAGAAATTGCAGCACAAGGGTTACAGAGCTTGTAAGTCCTTCCGGTCATTTCTATCAACATCCTGATGACAGTGTGCACCTGTTTGCTATCTTTCAGACCCACATGGAATAGCGAAGAGGAGGAGGAGATGCGCAAGGGCAGGGGTTGCATGCTACAGTATCAGCACTCCACACTCAGGGTGCTTACGCCCTTCGAGGCTGACTCAGACGCACTGCCAGACTCGCTAACTGGGGCGAAGCCTGTCGATTATTTCCTGGGTCCTGATTGGCAGGTAAAAATATTGACCTGAAGCAGACATGCACAGTGTAAACTCATTAAGGAAAGAAAAAAAACATGTTGGCACTTGTAGTTTATTCCTGTTTGCAGATCTGTGGCCAATAAAAAAAAAAAAAAAAAAACATTTGTAAGAATGATCTTTCTGGACCCACAAAATATTGTGCCCTGTGACGATACAACAACAAAAGAAAGAATAGACTTTTTTTTTCTCCGTGCACATCAACAACTGCATCATCTTTTCTTTTGTCTTTATATCCATGCTCTGGTGAAGCGTTAGCGGTACCTAAGCTAGTCTGACTTCCAATACGTGACGAGCTAAAATTCACCGCCTAAATTTGAAATCTCTTCCTTTCTCCAAAGCTGTGCTTATCCCAGTTTCCAAAGCGATGCAACACCGCCATCTACAGGGACCCGTTAGTCACTATGGTGGTTTACAAATTAGAATTTCAGAGCAAGCTGGGTTGTGACCCTCTTCCACGCCTTGCTGTTGAAAAACACGTGCCGATCTAAGCTCCCGGTTAATTGTTCAAAGAATACAAAACCTCGATCATTCCGTCCATCAAAGAACACCAAACAAGAGTCGATAGTAACATTCGACAAAGTTTGGGTATCAGCTTTAAAAATGTAACCCTGAGGGCAATCCCATTGTGCATTTAAAAAGGATATAAACAGACTTTTCGAAGGTCTAAATGGGCAAACAAAATTTTAATTTGAAGCTTTTCTCTGGTTGGATTATTAGGTGGACGTGACCAATCTAGTGCGCTATTCTCTAAAAGTGGCAGACCCAAATGTGGCCCGGGTTCATGAAGGAGAGGTGCTGCAGGGGCGAACTGCGGGCACTACTACTGTTCAAGTGAGACTTACGGCTTTTTATGTTAACAAATCCATGACATAGATTGTCAAAATTTTTTTTAATGAGATGTTATTTTCTGCAGGTGCTCTCCCCTCTCACATCATCCGTCCTTGCTGAGAAGGCCATCAGAGTGGTGGATGATAAAGTAAGTGTGATGGAGTTGGGAATACAGTTGGTGTCTGGACTCTCGCTGTCCCTGCAGCCCAGCCCGGGGAGCAGCGGTGCCATTGTTGCCATGGCAACCACCCGCCAGACGATCACACAGCTCAAACAGGCAAGGAACTGGAAAATTCGCACACCTGAAGCATAAAATTGATCTCGGTTTGAATCCCGGTTTTCACCTTCCAGCGGGGAGGTGCATGATCTTTGTGTTCTTGGGTGGGCTGTCTGTGGCTACTCTGATCCGCAGTCCAAAAACATGTCCTGACTTATAAGTGTGTTTGACAGGTGCATGATCCAGGTTTGTAGCCAGCTTCCCTGTGACTACAGAAAATCTAATCTTGATGACACAGTGTGTTGCTTGAAAAGAAGTGCTAGCTAATGACATCTCGGGACCAATCAGTTTCTGGAGTCACATTGAGACCAGAAGCTCTTTTTTGGACCAAGGCAGTGCAGTTTTATGGTCTGTGAAGGTCGTAGGGAAAGCTTTAGCCAGTATTACAAGGTCCATAAGTCAAATGCAAAAATGAAAAGAAATTACCCTATTTCCAGTAATAGCCGTAATCATTTGAGTCATCTTCAGTCAGAGTTCCAGCACGGCAAGCGGAGGAATTATGAACGTAACATTCTGAGCACTTTAAACCTGTCATGCATTATTCACATTTTCCAGCCCTGTCATTAAAGTCCTCTGAAATCAAGAATTGAACGCAAAGCACCCCCGGGCAGCCTGTTGTGACGATGTCCTTTGGGGGATGTCAAATCACTTATGTTCTCCCTTTTATCTCTCGCAATGGGAACACGCCACGTTCACAGTCACGACAATAAGCGGCGGGTAGCGTGCTGAGCCGGGCGGCGGACGACGACGGCGTGCACAGCTGCTTTGTTTGAAAGCTCGGACGGCCGATCGAGCCGTGGCTGCGTGCCCGTTTTTCAAACGAGCTGATGATGCGGGCGTAGGGGGCAGCAATTAGGCAGCCTATTGCCGCAGGAGCAACGAACGGCTCACTTTACTCACAGCCGCTGCGGCTGGTCCGAGCCCTCCTCCCTCCTCCGCCCATGTCGATGATAAACTGTTCGAAACGCACAGATGACCAGTGAACCGCGTCTACGATGGGAGAGCTGTTAACGATACGCTCAGGGCGGATTCATAATATATTCAAATCCAAAATAGAGGCTATTTCTGTGGCTCCCCAGTGGCTTATATTAGCTCCATGGAATAGGCCGTTGTGTGTCGATGTGATCAGCGTGACCCATTCTGCTCCTCTTTGTGTAGATTTTGTGAAGCAGGCGTATTCTCTTCGGTACAATTACACATTTTTTTATGGAGCTAGAGCACTCCCGAGAGTGTCAGGGTAAAGACATTAGGATCGGCTTTTTAGTATTCTGGGGCGATGATTGGGTAGCCTTTCTGCCTCACACCCAAACGCTCCGCATTCGAATAACTGCTTGTATATAATAACCCTTGCTAGTTTCCTGCAGCTAATCCAGTTTCCAACAACAACAACAAAACACAGACACACATGCGACACTCAAAACTCGAAATCCCTTATATCAAACTCAAGGTCTGAAGTCCAATATGGATGTCGTGACGGAGTGTTCTGACCTAGTTTTTGTTTTCTTTTCCCCAGGAAGCTGCCGTCAGTTGCTGGGTCGTATTCAGCGACGGAGCCGTCGTCCCCCTGGCGGTCTTTGACCACAATATCTACTCCTTAACAGTCTCCACCCCAGACGAGGCCGTGGCTACCGTTCGCCGCACGCCGCAGTCCACGTTTGTAGTGGCGCAAAGCGAAAGCCACGGTCAGGGGGCGCTAGTCAGAGTGGAGTTGAGGATCTGCGAGGAATGCCAGAAATCGAAGAGGAAGAGCAAGCTGGCAGTCGGGACGGGGCTCCTACGGATGAACTTCCAGGGTGGGATCCGAGCTTTAGACAGGCTTGGTAAAGCCAACAAAGGCGATGACAACGGAGCTGCTTCGGAAATGGCAGCAGAGCTTAAAACAACAGTGACGTCGGAGCCTGTAGTCACAGATGCAGATCAAGATCGCTTCAGGACAGTCCCAGAAACGAGCATTGTGACCGCATTGTTGACCAGAACTGTGCAGCCACGTGTCGCTTGGACTGCAGCGACCAGCAAAGCCACAAAAAGTTCAACATTTATGGACACTCCCACTCCCAATGTCAGTGTAGCGAGATCTCCAACCACTGCCAGACCTGCTAATACTACAGCGAGTGATTTTGATAAAGATGGACAAAAGGGAGGCTTTGGCAACATGCTTGACAATCCAAATTCACCCCCAAACAAAGGCAACGCTAAAGCAGATGTTTCACACAAGAAAGAGCCTCCCAAAACCAAATCCCCCAAAGTCATTGAGAGTGACCTTATACGCACGTTCCGCTCCATGTCCGACTTGGAAATTGGTATATATTCCTTAGTGGCCGTGTTGTGTATCGCGATCTTGGGCTTTTTGCTTAACTGCGCCTCCTATCGACTCTGTTTCCGCAATCACAAGACCCCGACACAAGCTGGACCGACACCCAACGGGGACCCAAAGGATCATAAGCATGACTGGGTGTGGCTAGGCAGTAACAATCCGCAACCTTCAGCCTCGGGTGCACCCGCCCAAGTGTCAACGCTGACCCGCCGCTCTGCGGACGCCAAGGGCCACCGCGGCACGGAAAAAACTCTACCCTCCGTGTGCCCTGCCGCCGCCGCCGCCGGTGTTCCCGAAAGAACTGCCACCTTGGGACGAAGCCGAACCGGCTCCCAGCAGCAGCAGCTGCAAAGAACTGTTGTTGACTCCATGGCGAACCGTTCGGCCACCTTGCTGGCTAGACCTCACCGCAGCGAGCCTCTCCACTCGCCCACCAGTAAGAGGAATCAGGTCCAATTCACCACTTTCACCACGCTGGACATCAAACATTTGGCTGCGCTGAAGAAGGACGGCGTGGGCTTTACTTGGACCGACCAGCAGCAACGGCAGCAGCAACTACAGCAGCAGTCTCCCCCTACCGAGCCACAAATTCCGCTGCCTGAAATGCCGTGGCCTGTCGTCAAACCTCTCGGAGAGCCCCACTGAGTTTTTGGGGTGCTTACACCAAATCCACAGAAGCATGTACAGGCAAATTGGTGCACTAAATGCAAGATGGCTGTTTATATACTTATACTAAGGATCTGTAAAAACAAAAACGTATTATTTCCATAATGACCGCCCAAAATCTTTCTCCTACAATGGGACACTTGTGTAGACACTGCCGATATGTCAGGACAGATGCAGTATACCGGAGAAGAGATTTAAAAAAAAAATAATTTCTGATTATGATGATGATGATTATTATTCGCCTTGTTTTTAGACTCCCTAAACCTCCTGCGGACTTTGCGCAACCGAGCAGATGCAACATTTGTCATGTAAATTTTTCTGCCACCGCAACATCCAGCAAATATTTATGGAAATGAAAGTATGCTATGCAAATATAATCTTTGCTGAGTTTTATAATTAATTTGGGGTTAAGCCCCCCCCACCAACACCCCCCTTTTGTTTTTTCACCCGCGGCACTGATGATATTGTAGGTAATAGTTATTGTCGAACCTACTTGTCTCTAGAATGAAAAAGCAATTCATATTCAACCAATTTTATTTGTACATATGAATATATCAGGACACCTTTTGTATCTTGCGTCCTGTTATGATGAAAGAAAAAATGTGATGCCAAGGAGATCTTGCCAAAAACTGACAAATAAATGTACAGTATTTCTTGAAGTTTACTTTCACTCAATTATTGTTTTACAAGATTTTCAATAGGGGGGTGGGGGCGGGGGGGGTCGCTCACATGAAAGCCGCGTCGTGAATGATTTGGATTACCGGGCTGCAGCTCTGCGATGAATCAGTCGGATTTGATTATTTAATTACTGCCAAATGGGATTTAAGGATGAACTCATAATTCAGTGAAATGGACTTGGCCAAAATTAAATCTGCGGCGGTTTAATGCTGCACCGAGGGGGGAAACAATTAAAGGTGCTGCATTGTCAGGGCTTTTACACAATAAATGACTGCCCCCCCCATACCCTCCCCGCTCCCCCCCCTCCCCCGCCTCCCCATATATTCTCCACAGCCGCAATTCTCACACTGACATCTGCGGGGCTTGGTTGCATTTGCTTAAGAAAACGCACATCAAGTGATGTCCCCGCACCCACTGGAACAGTGTGTGCTCGTCCCGATATTCCACAAAGAGCTGAAGAGCGAGTTAAGAATCTGTCCTCTCAAACATCTCTTGGGGCAAAGTGGCGATTCCGATCTTGTCTAGAGATGCCGAGTGCGCTAGAGTGAATCACACAGGTGAACCGCCACAATGAGCCCAGACAGTTAGACGTAGATATTATATCACGTGAAAACAGTATAACTTTGTAAAGTTTTTATTATTGTACTGATATTTTCTTGCAAGTATTTCTATCATTATGTACAAAAAAGTCATAAAGGTAAATTCATGTTTCAATATGTCTCTTCTTCTATTTTTTTTTGTTTGACATACTGCATGGACTCCCTTCGGTGATATTTTGAGCGAGGCGCGAAAAAACATCCCGACTGCACGCAGAGCATCTGCTCGACGCCGCTATGCACGCAACACGCGACCGATCTTTGGGAGTCTTAATTTATATCAAACACGGCCACCAGCAATAACTCCACATCAACGCGTTTTCAACCCCCCCAAGTGCAAGTGTTGCGCTACATCATGTTGCTGTCAAGCTTGTCAGGATGCCGCCGGTGAATTATTCACGCCTGGGTGATTCACTGAGTAGATCATTTGAAAATGTCATGGCAGGAAAAGCAGAGGTATAATTGATAACAGGCATCCTGGCGCCATCCTGTTTATGTGCGCAAGTTTCATGGAGAGCCCCGCTCCACTGAAAGCTGGCTCGCTTTTTTTCTTTTAAATTCACAGTGGGATATTTTAGTGATATTTTTAGGCACTCAAGCTTCAGCAAAAGAAGTCCTGGCTTTTCACTTTTGGTTGGTCTGATAGCTTTTGGCAATGAACATTTGGGAAGCGGACAATGAAGTTTTAAAGTGATGGAATTGAAAGTGGTAGAGCAAGGGTGCCCAAACCTTTTGGACTGAAGATCGACTTTTCGATCAACCAACCTCCCGCGATCGACCCGTTACCGCGCACGCACATACACACGCACGCCATGATGAACAACAGCCTGACACGGAGCCTGTTAACTATCGTAGCTCACACGGTACCGTTTAAAAGCGCTTCCCTTGGCCCCTCTAGATTCCTATTCTTTGTACACGAAACAAACTCTGAATGAGAATAATGATAATGATTTAACCATAGGTTAAAGATTTACCTGCTTTATTTTATTTTTTAAATACGTTTTGTGAAAATGTGACTGGTAGGATGATTAGGGTGCAGTGTACATTAACACAAAAAAATATATTACTAACGTGCGCAAAGACACACAAATGGCTGTTTGTTTTGTTTCTCCTCTACACCCCTCGCGATCGACTTGGGACCAGTCTGCGATCTACCGGTCGATCGCGATCGACGTAATGAGCAACCCTCCCAAAAAAACCCCAAAAATCACTAACATTGCATTAATACTTGAGACAGTACACCCCAAAAATTGCTCTTGTAAAGGCTGTGTTACTGTGAATTGAAAAGACACCGTTTTATCAAAGATGATGTGGAATGTCTCCTCTTTGGGACCGGCTCCAAGTCAGTCCTTAATCATTAAGAAGCTCCAATGTTGCATTACTGAAAAAAATTTTTTTGTTTTTGGTCGTTTAAAAATGTTCGCCAGCGCAGAAAATATCTCATTCTGCCTGTACCTCCGTCGTCATTATTACAGTGGCGCGATACCCTCAGTATAGCAAGTTGTAAATTCATCAATTTGCATATTTCCCCACCCAGAACATCCAAATTATGCTACAATTTTGAAAGAAATGATCATGTGTGATCACGATAAAAAAAAAAAAAAATCCAGCTTTAATGCAGGTATCAGACACCATAGTTTGGACACTTGAGTGACTCTCAGAAAAGGCTACCAATATGACTAGGTGATGTCATCTTCTTCCCCTGGCGACTCATGGTAGGAAATTTCGGGGCTTTGGTGGTCTGTGCATATTTCTTCTACCGCATTTGGTAAACTGATCATTTCTTCCTACGTCTGTACCTGAAATGCTTCTAGACTGACTAATGGAGTCATTTCAAGTCGGGTCAGCAGATCGAGTTCTCATGATTTTGCTTTCTGACACCACCATAATGGATACACAGTAAAACAGTCACAATCATCGGTGCAGAGTTTCAGATTTAAATGTCCCGTGGAAACCCTATTAATAGATACAGTATTAAAGAAATTATAATGCAGTAACACTCTCTCTGCTCAATTTGTGGCCAAAGATTGCCTGGTGGGTTGAATTCTTTCTCACTTTTGGTCCAAATTTGTGTCTTTACATTTAATCCTTTCAGGGACAGTGGTTACTACAGTGGACATCTTATCACGTTATCAGATTACAGGGTGCATGAAGGGGTTAAACCATCGGATTTGAGCCTTGCAAATTCACTACTGTATTTGTGTTTTCAGTGTGTGTGTGTGTGTGTGTGTGGGGGGGGGGCTTCTGCCACATTGTGCTACATCATAGCTGCTAGCCTTCGAGTGTGCACTATCGCTTCAAACGCGGCCAACCATCCAGGAATTAACCAGGGATTTCAAATGGGATTCTTTTCTCCGCGTTAGTTCCACCTCAAGTCGGGCAACAAAGCATGACACGCCACACAAAAACTCTGACATCAGCAGTTTTCCAATTAGGATTGCACCCATGAGCACGGCTGCCACAGTCTCTCATTTCTTTCGGGTGACATTTTTCGCCAGGCTGCTCCGAAACGGATATTTAGAAAGCAAATACATCTGCGGATTTTGATTTGCCACTTAAATTGGATTTTTGCTGATATAGGCTTGACAATGGACCTAGCTAGTCTGTCAAGAAACACGACTGCCCTTGAGCAAGTGACTCAGTTTAGTGCATCCTTATTTCAGGTTAACTTGGTGGAAAATAAATGTTTCAAAAGTTTTGCATTGACAGCTTTTTTTTTTTACCCTCCCAAAAAAACCCCAAAAATCACTAACATTGCATTAATACTTGAGACAGTACACCCCAAAAATTGCTCTTGTAAAGGCTGTGTTACTGTGAATTGAAAAGACACCGTTTTATCAAAGATGATGTGGAATGTCTCCTCTTTGGGACCGGCTCCAAGTCAGTCCTTAATCATTAAGAAGCTCCAATGTTGCATTACTGAAAAAAATTTTTTTGTTTTTGGTCGTTTAAAAATGTTCGCCAGCGCAGAAAATATCTCATTCTGCCTGTACCTCCGTCGTCATTATTACAGTGGCGCGATACCCTCAGTATAGCAAGTTGTAAATTCATCAATTTGCATATTTCCCCACCCAGAACATCCAAATTATGCTACAATTTTGAAAGAAATGATCATGTGTGATCACGATAAAAAAAAAAAAAAATCCAGCTTTAATGCAGGTATCAGACACCATAGTTTGGACACTTGAGTGACTCTCAGAAAAGGCTACCAATATGACTAGGTGATGTCATCTTCTTCCACTGGATCTTATAAATGTATTCATGTCTGTCTAAAAAAAAAAAAAAAAAAAAAAAAAAAAAAAAAGAAAAAAAAAAATCTTTTTATGAACTTCCATCTGGCACCATCTGGCATCAGTGCACTTGTCATCAGAAGTGATCGGTGCACTGTCTGGTCCATCTTTTGGAAGACAAGGACACACCGCTGCATTTTTTTTTTTTTTTTTGGAGCTACGCAAATTGATTGTCAGCATTAGTGTGTATCTGAAATCGTGTACGCTTGGTCGCTCCGATCAAACAGCGGCGTGCGCCCGGCAGGTGGTTGACTTTCACCTTCATGTGACAATCCTCAGATCGTCCACTGCGGGCTCCCTGTGATGGTATCAAACGCTGTCACCCAGGGTTCGTTCGGTGGCGGCGAGATGTAATTGCACAGTTTTGCATTAGAAATGGGAGGAGGACAGTGTGGTGGTGGTGGTAGTGGGGGATGGGGGGGACGTGAGAAATTGTCGATATCGATGCAGTGACGACTCATGGTAGGAAATTTCGGGGCTTTGGTGGTCTGTGCATATTTCTTCTACCGCATTTGGTAAACTGATCATTTCTTCCTACGTCTGTACCTGAAATGCTTCTAGACTGACTAATGGAGTCATTTCAAGTCGGGTCAGCAGATCGAGTTCTCATGATTTTGCTTTCTGACACCACCATAATGGATACACAGTAAAACAGTCACAATCATCGGTGCAGAGTTTCAGATTTAAATGTCCCGTGGAAACCCTATTAATAGATACAGTATTAAAGAAATTATAATGCAGTAACACTCTCTCTGCTCAATTTGTGGCCAAAGATTGCCTGGTGGGTTGAATTCTTTCTCACTTTTGGTCCAAATTTGTGTCTTTACATTTAATCCTTTCAGGGACAGTGGTTACTACAGTGGACATCTTATCACGTTATCAGATTACAGGGTGCATGAAGGGGTTAAACCATCGGATTTGAGCCTTGCAAATTCACTACTGTATTTGTGTTTTCAGTGTGTGTGTGTGTGTGTGTGTGTGTGTGTGTGTGTGTGTGTGTGTGTGTGTGTGTGTGTGCGTGCGCGTGTGAGGGG